AGGACGTATGTATATACAGCATCATTGACACAAGCATTCCACATCAGATGGATAAACTAGTGGTAGTAAATATTGTTGTCAACATAACACAAGTAAACAAGGAGTTTAAATAACGTACGTTAATAGTGATCTGGACACAGGGAGTACTAAACCTCAGAAAATCATAATATATTTGCATGCTTCGCTCTCAATATCACACCAAGTAAGCTACGTACATGAAGAGTTTGTAAAGTCAGAAGGAAAGTAAGGGACGACAGAAGAATGTTGGAGGTGTAATTTACCCCATCAATGGTGCACAGTGCTCTGTCCCCGAGTCTCAGACAGCCTTCCACGGAACCCACGTGTAGCACATAGCCTGCCTTAACCTGTACGTTCTTCACCGCAAACTCCGTGCTCTAAAGAAACACACGTGTACACGCAGTGACAGACAGACAGACAGAGTTACAGAGATAGAGAAACAAAAGACGACAAGAGAGAGAATATTATTTCAACCTTCATCATCACAATATTCTATATCTTCACTGAGAACGTATGTTCACTACATGTGAAAGGACTGAGCAGGCATTATTAAGGCACTAAGTATTCATGTTGTAATTGTCATGGAGAAGTAATAAATAGGATGTGCACCATAAAACGCTTATTCAATAATGCATATGTACTTCATCATCAGTTTTAGACAGAAATCCAATGCCATGTCAAAGACATGCACCATACAATGCAGCAAAACGGCCCACTGTTCTTACTTCATCATCAGTTTTAGACAGAAATCCAATGCCATGTCAAAGACATGCACCATACAATGCAGCAAAACGGCCCACTGTTCTTACTTCATCATCAGTTTTAGACAGAAATCCAATGCCATGTCAAAGACATGCACCATACAATGCAGCAAAACGGCCCACTGTTCTTACTTCATCATCAGTTTTAGCCAGAAATCCAACGTCGTATATCTGCCCCCCGGCCTCTGCATAGAAACAGGTTTGGTCGAGGAGGACACCTGCCTGCTGACCGCTCGTTATCTCGGAGACAAACTCATTGTTGTAGCGGAGGGCGATGACTGTACCTTCACAAGACTCAAATGCTGTGTGGACACGTATTATACACTTCATCAGCAGTAAATGGACAGAGAAAAGATACGTATAACTGGAAATATCTATGTTGGCATTTGGCTCTCTAACTGTCTGTATTCCAACACTGGTGAAGTTTAAATGCCGGAATATTTTGTAGTGCAAAGCAGCTACAAATTTTGGGAGATTGAAAATCTGGATGTGACACCAAACATTCAGGTACTGCAACGAAAAGCAAGAGTGTGGAGGTCACCTCGCACTATAGCTATGGCGGAGATGTACGTAGAGTGGATAAAGAGATGAGGGGAACCCCCCCAGAGCATGAGGTAAGGATATGATGGGAGAGACCACTGTATTCAAGGCAGTGGGGGAAAGTCACAGGAAAAGGAGGTGAGAGAACTTGGCCGGCGAGCTTGATGAAATGGCTCGTAACACTCTCCCCTGGAGGTCCCTCGTCAGCCACTAACGGTTGTCATAATGCAAACACTTGGCAAAGGCAGGACATCAACCACTTATATAGTGGCTAAGAGATGAGTCTAAGAGATGAGGTTGACGAATTGCGACGAACTGAACGGCCAGTTTCGCGTAACTTTGACGAGGCAGGTAAGACGTTACAACGGAGACAAGTATTGAGTCAAGCGATATGCACTAAACACAACCTGCTGGCCTGTTTCACACTCTCAGAGCAAGAAACAGATGAGCGCCTCAATTGCCGGGAACATTGGTAAAACATGGAACATCAGTGGATAGTCAGCCCATACGCCATGCCAATGGACGCGGCTCCATTTCCAAGGAGGTGACATCAATAGCGGAACAGTTGCAGAGGGGCCACACGAATATGCCAAGATCGCGTGATCCCCTATAAAACACATGCCGCAGAGTTAGCCCCACGAATATTTCCCACGCGAAAATGCCAGGAATATTGGGCCTGGCGACAACAGAAGCAGGACAAGGACTCGCTCCCGCTCGGCATGTGCCCGAGCTATGCGCAGGTTCGAGACCATACCCGTTAGCAAAGTGTGCAAACAGCGGTAGAGTGTTTTGGCCGACGCAGGAATGCACCTAGAGGAGGAGAGGAATGAATAGACAGGCTCCCCGTGCATTATGGCTGACTCGACTCGCCCGTGGAATGAAAGGAATTTCTGCCTCGAACAAGTCCTTCCGAGAAACGCTCAGAGCTAAATTTCTGTTCATTAGGTTGGCTACCCGTTCTATAGGACAGAGTGAAAACTACCTGAAGAAGCCTTATAATTACCTACATCAAAAACTTGAGTCATTACCCCTAATCCTATAGCATATGACTATTATATATACCTGCTACATATTGGTGAAGACGATTATTCTGATTATTGTTGCTTTCACACAGACCCTGCCTTGGGTAACAAACTTGCAACTATTGTACACTTACAATAGTTCCCCTCTGCATCGGCTTGGTAGTTATACTTGGGTAGGTCGTTAGTGGTGGGTGTTGGCCTTCTTCTTGAGCTCTTCCAGAGCAACAACGTCGAGGTTAATCGACTCATCGACTCCTCCCGCTGCCGAGCGAGCAATCACCTATATACACCAGGGGAAGAGAGAGGAGGAGGGGGGGGGAGAAAGAGTCGAGGGCACATGATAATCATGTGACCTGTTTCTTGCTCGTGTTGTTACGAGGTGACCAAACTTGCACATGCACCTTTGCAATGTCCTCTTCCAAGGATGCACATACATTAGTACAGGCATTAAACAATCAACAGAGGTCACATGATTGTCTCGTGACCTAAAGCGTGTGTTAGAAAAAAGGGCTGCACACACATGCGAGCACAGCGGATGTCAGGGAAATATATAAACACACATGCCTCTAGAGTCTAGAGTGCATAGTGACCTCTCGGTGTGTGTTGGAGTGTAGAGAGAGGACCTCACTGACCTGTGCACGTATCTTTGCAGCCTCGTATCCCTCGCAGTCAACAGTCAGTCTCCTCTCCTCTGCCATGAGACTAGTTAGGTCGACCGGGAAGCCATACGTGTCGTAGAGACGCCATGCCACATCGCCTGCGTGCAGAGGAAAACGCACAAAGTCACAGGAAGGGATAGTGACATGTAGATATTCTTTCCAGTGCATGAATAAGTATATATCCACCAAAAATGTCCACAACTTCCACATCGGGTTTTGTTGACCACTTCAAAACCCTTAATGTTCCATACCATAGTATGCATATACTTCCACACAATATACGTATATCAGGTTCCTCTCTCTCTTCTCTCTTCCTTTCTTCACCACGCTGCCATGTTTCTAAAACCAATCAAACACAATCACCTTTCTCCATCTCACTCCCCCTCCCCACTCACACGTCCTCACCCCTCACCGGGGATAACGGAGCCGTCCAGTCTGGCTACGGTTCTCTCAAAAAGTCTCTTTCCGCGAGAAAGCGTCTTCAAGAACTGGCGTTCCTCTTCATCTATCACATCCATTACCTGGACACCACGTCAAAAAAGTATAAACGTAACAACACGAAGCATCAGAAGTAGATGAAAAAGTTTCTTTAACTCTGTTACTTAATTGCACTGTTTATAAGTCTTCTGTCTGTTCGTTTTGCTGAGTTTTCTTCCATTTTTCCCCCCGTGTCAACACGTGTTACGTGTTTTCGTGTCACGTGTCGTGTGCACAAATTGAGTGCATACAATGCATAGTACGATTCTAATCCAGGCAGCAATAGAACAGAACAAAGTGTCCAACGATGGAGCGATTCCATTCCAGACAGCAATAGAACAGAACAAAGTGTCCAACGATGGAGCGATTCTAATTCAGGCAGCAATAGAACAGAACAAAGTGTCCAACGATGGAGCGATTCTAATCAGGCAGCAATAGAACAGAACAAAGTGTCCAACGATGGAGCGATTCTAATTCAGGCAGCAACAGAACAGAACAAAGTATCCATGTGTCAGCAAGGAGTCCTTATTTCAGGGGTTACTGTTAAAATGCATGCAACTGCACTCCTAAGAAGGTGTGCTTAATAGAGAGGTGTCTTCATTTCATGGGAGCAGTTCCACCATATGAATAAGGCTGAGAAACGATATTATTACGCAACTCGACTCGTGAAGGTTCTCCTAGAGACGCTAGGTGTCCTTGCTACGGTAACGACTTCAGCTCCCGGAATATTGCTTTCAGTCAGATTCCCAGAAGCGCACCAAACATGCACAGATAAGGTTCCACGCCAGGTGCTACCTACCCACCCTACTGTGTATGTGTGTCCTTATGTCATTCACATCCCCGTGGAGTGTCGTCCTGTTTACGAGAGTGATTTCACTACAGGTGGTCTGAACTTATACTCCACTAAATAGTACTGAATCTCCTGAACCTTGCTTCACGTACCCCTCAGCTGCATTGGATCATCACTGGGTGGGCCAGCAAAATCCATAATTCCCATAATAATTGCTGGAGGGTCTGCGTACTACCCACCTACAGACTCTTTCCACATACTGACTCTACTCTATATGCTGGATTAGCTGGAACAATTCCAGCTAATCCACCATATTATAGAGTCGGTATGTGAAAAGAGCAATTATTGCTGGAGACCCCCATTACCCCCCCAGGCCTTGTGATGTATGGGGTATGGACAGGCCCTCATAGTTTCTTTAGGACACCTATTCTTGGACTGGAATCTTTCTCAGAGCTTAACGGTTCTGATGCACTTGAAAAACTGCTCCCCCCTTCCCTCGTTCCTCTACTACCTTCACTACGCCTATAACTGCAGAAGAGTCATCCACAGATCAAACTACACGCTTTGAGGGCCAGACACGCTAATAGCCATCAGTGCGCGAACCTCCACTTTCACGACTGCTACGTATGAACACTTGGACAACGAAAAAATGCCAGTTCAGGTTTCAAAGCCAGTTTGTGTCATGAGCCAATCAAAACAGAGACAGTGCATGGCGACAGTTTTGTGTAGGGTTGCCATGATGGCAAAGTGTAGTGACAATACACCAAAATGCTCTGACGCCTGAAATATGCTGACAAGAGAGATTGTGTCCCACGCTTCAAACACAATTAACCCTATGATGAATCAAGTATGCCCATCGAGAGAGAAGAGGAGGCGGTGCAGCAAAAATGGAGTCGTTTTGCCTCCGCACAGACACGCAACCATCCCAAGCCAGCTGGCGATGAAGAGGAGAGAGCGTAAGCTATTGCCAATAGTTCAGCAAACACAACCTTTGAGCCAAGCCCTCAGAGGGGTGCTACGGCAGTGGATTAACTACAGTTGTGAAGCCTTATAGCTATACCCCCCACTTGACTCTGGGCCTTCTGCGTGCCCGTAACCAGCCACATAACCCATTTAGGACCATGGATCTTGTGTACACAGCATGGTGGGTCTGCCAGCCTGAATACGTGACCACACGCCAAGGTCACGAGTGTATTTACCTGAACCCTCCTTTTACCATGGACACGGTCGAGTGATAATGGCAGTCAGCAATGCAGCTGCTTTCTATCAGACCTATTTAGACCGCCCTAAAAAGAAGTTTTGAAATTCTTCTGGTGTCTCGTTAAAACCCCTAAAGAACTATAAAGAGTAATGACGGCAAAAACAACAGCAGCAATATTATCGTTTTTCTCTGTTTGCAAACTTAACCCTCAGAGCACAAGAAAATCAGTAGAGCTAGTCACTGGAGATTGAGAAATGTGACAACATAAGCTGATGGATGTACGTACGTATATACCCTATCCAAAGCTACCAATTACTTGCAGAGGAGCCTTGTAAGAAAGGGAAGGAAAAATGATTCCACAAGTTAATGTGCAGAGTTCCGTGTGACAACGTAACAAATTGCATAATAACACTTCCGAGAAATATTCACAGAAAATTGCAAGCAGTCTTGAGTGAGGAGCTTATAGTGCTGGTACTGCTTATCAGAGCTAGCTCCAGAGATTTATGGCCGGGGGACAACCAGCCCCTTAGCAACAAATTTACCAATAACAGGACACCTACTCTTTGGTGGTCAAAGTGTCCCCTGGGAAGCATATTCAGGGACAGGGGGAAAATGAAGAGATAGAGGGACTATATGCTCCCCTCTGACTCTGGCACCAGGCCTGGCTTATTGCTCAAACTTATTTAAGTGGCTATAATATGTACGTAGCAGCTTGCGGTTCATGAGCTGTAGAGAGTGTACACATGTTTACTGTATACACATATTGTCACACAAACTCACAGACTGCGGATCTTTGGTAATCTCTGGAAAAGCTTCGCCCTACAAAATACAAACATACATACGTACGTAAGAGAAAATGAATAACAATACGGTGAACGTGAAAGGGAAATTTCAAATTAACAATTTCCAGGCCAAACATGTTTTAGTGATGGGGGGAAATATCGAAGATCTTCAAAGTTAACACCTCGGGTAATGTTTATCATCAGGAAAATCGTGTCAACAAAAGGCAGAAAACATTGCAGAAGATTTCAAAAGATCCATCGGCAAACATAAAACACGACACAACAAACAAACTGTCTTAATATCATCACATGTGAAGCTCTAAGGGGAGGACGGAAGTTGAAATAAAAGATGTCAAGAGGAAACTAAAACGACATACGTACGGGACCTCACCCAATCACTGCCAACACCGTATATATACACCACAAACCCTATATTATATACACATGTCAGTATACAACTACAGTAACATTATAAACAACTGCATACCTACGTATTAGGGGAAATAATTCTATTGCGTGTTTGTTCTAAAAGTGAAGCATACCCAACGGTTAGCAGCCCTATAAAGTTACTCGCACCATTCAAATTCCAACCATATCTGATTGAAAATATGCACGTTCTCAAATGCCGAGTATATTACAGTACGTCTTAAAAGGAGAGAATGCTAACGCTAAGTCCCTATAATTATATAGATTATTGGCTAATAAGCATACTTGCTAAATTACACATGTCTTCTCCGCAATCTTCTCCGCAATAGTCCCTAGCAGGAGTATATAGGCTATTTTGTAAGCCAGCACATGAGGCCTTACTGCCTAGAAACCCTATTACAGTCAAGACTCAACACCCTCCAGAATAATACGCCACAATTCATGTGATCTAATCGACCCACTCAGCTGTCTAACCAGGCAGGAAAAGAAGCTTTAACGAGGTGTCCGGGGCCATAAAAGGTACATTTGGGGGGGGAGGTCACACACCATACTCACTCCAAGGCCTCCAAGAGGCTGCAAGAATCGAGACATTCTTGGAATAGCTGCAGTATATCACACAGCTCGTACAGTGGCAGCCACACTAGGGTAGAAATGGCTGCACGTCGGAGGGTCCCGATTCTCGGCATTCCCAGACAGATCCCGACATTCTGCTAAGTCTCGTTCCGTGGGAATCTTCCTCGCCACCCACCCTCTTCACACCAGGCACCACGCTCCCAGAACACACACACACACAAACTCCTCGCATCAAAGTACGCGAGAGAGCGTTTCATGCTGTCACGACTCCTTTATATCTCCCACGGGACAGCGAGCGGATAAGAAAAACGCCGATAAACAGAGGCCGACTAACGCGGCGTGTTACTTAACACATCGTAGGTGTAAGAATGGTGACTAGATGCCGACACACAGGGCAGCAGACACGTGCCGTGAGCTACAGCTGACTGTAACCTATTGTAGCACAGCAGAGGCTTAGATATGACAAAGGGAAGCTGGAGTAGTAAAAGTGGTCTCTTACACACGTGCTTTCTCACCTCGAAATTCACCACAATTTCATGCAAATCCATACACGGCAAACTTCTTACTATTGAGAAGAGCTTACCTGGTAATCAGAACTGTGTGCGTCTCTGTATGCACAAATGCTGATATGTTTTATCAAGCATTTCCCACACTTACCACAATGTCCCACACCATTATAAACCACACACACGCACGTAACTAAAATTTCGCAATATTGTTGCTGCATGCGCCTAAAACAGTTGCCTTAGTTGTGTGTCCCCAACTGCTTTGCTCACGGCTTCGTTATTCCTCGACATAATGCATAATTGCTCTGTATGACTCGATATTGTGAGAGACATAAAAGTTGTCACAAATGGCTGCACAAGTGGGACTATATACCACAAACGTAAACACTGATGTAATTTAATGCACGATCATACTCCACAATTAAATCCTTATGCTAAACGAATTAAAAGTAAAAATACATACGCTTCTATAAACAGGTTCGATAATGACGTAATGATGACTCACCAGGCTCTCCACGACGACCGGTACGAGACTAGCAAACATCCCTGGTTTCCCGTTCAAGACCTCGGTGCAGTATCTGATGCCTCGTCTTAGGATCCTCCGCAGGACATAGCTGCAAGAGGGAGGGAGGGAGGGAGGCAGGGAGGGGAGGGGAGGTGAAGGGAGGGAGGAGAATAGGGAGAGAGAGATGGGAAAGGAGGGAAGAGAAAGGTAGGTAAAGGTTAAAAAGGGGATGGAGGAGAGAGAGAGGGCAAGGGAGGAGAGTAAACAACCTTGGGGGAAAGGAGACAAAGTGGGAGGAGAGAAGTATAGAGCTTTGTGTATTTGTTCATTATACACACTAAAGCGGGGGAGGGAGGGAGCCTGGTAATCAAAAATACAATTCAGTGCCCACCTGTGCATTAGTACACCAACAACATGCAGAATAAGCTTCTTGTACACACACTTTTAGTAAATTGAGGTGAAATGACTGCCTAATAGCAAACTGCATGTAGTGTAGTCCACTGAGAAAATGTGTGGAGAGGCAATGATGTGTGTCCACGCGTCTACCTCCTACACTAGCAGGTGTGTGTGTGTGGAATAGTGAGATAAACTTCCACGTGTGATGTAACACATCAGCAAGTGAGGGTCCCGGGGCTCTATCACACAGTTTACCGGCACACCTGGAGTGCCGTATGGTAATTATAGGCTGGGAATTAAGCAGTGGGGCTACCCCTCCTTCTCTCTTCCTTCCCAGTTCTGAGAAAATCGCATATAATTGTGGGTGAGATTGGCCAAGTCAGGCACCTTGCTCAATCATATGTCACACTGTGTGTTTATTTTTTTTATGGGGATGTGGAAGGGAACAAGCTCACTTGCCTCAATTGAACTCTCCGTCTCTCTCTTTCCTTACTACGTACGTATAGAGTTTATAATCACTCGTGAACTAAACGTAACACAGATGTGACAGATGGACGCTTGCATTATCCAGTCAGCTAACAGAATTTCGGCGGGTGATGCAGTGAAATAAGTGCCCCATCAGCGAGGGAGTGCCTCACTCCATAAGTACACTGGCACTTATTTACTAGATGGAGTGACGAGAATAGTTCACAACAAAGTAGATATACCTTACACTGCACAATGGATGACAAACAATTGTACGGGAGAGAGAGAAGAGTGGGAGGGAGGAGGGAGAGAGAGAGGGAAGAGGGTGAAGAACCAAGCGACGACAGCGCAGAGGCGAGCTAATGTCACACCTCCATCGACACAAGTTGGTTTGTCTAGCTGTGAAGTGCTATTTGCTTTGTCTCCAGAGCCGTCGGTGCTCAGTAATTGAGAGCAGTGTGCTTGGCATACGCAGAGAGTGTGGCGCACGGGGCCGCACGTGGCACCACTTAGTCCAAACACTTTGATCAATTACACGCTCCCATCCCCAATCAATTACTGCTGTTTGTCACATGCGGTTATGGTGCTTGCTTGCAGGGCAGCTGGTGTGTGCACGTAAGGAGGTGCACAGGGCAGGCAAGTGGGACTGAATGAGGACACCCACGCACACCACAACCCCACTTCTGAAACGGAGCTCCTCTATTTCTCGCTGCCGATGCCAATTTCTTGCGCCGTTTGAATGATTTTGCAATAGCTCCGCTGTTGTCATAAAATGAGAAAGCTTTACCATACGCATTATAAACAACTACAACAACAGATCATATATTATCTCACTAATAGAGCTGGTTCTGAACACAGCAAGAGTGTTAGTGTTCTGGGTGTATGAAGTAGAGAACATGCTCCTGGCAGCAGCATTCGCCCAAAATGACACAGAATTCCATACATAGTTGACAGCATACCGAAAAGTTTTTTTTTAAAAACGCGACCACTTAATGGGCATTTACTGGCAGCAGAAGGAAGGGGTATTCATAGCCTGTTCCACCATTGTTTCTTCAATTAGTCCTCCACTTCCACCTAATTAACAGACAGACCAAATACTCACACAGAGTGGCCCGACACTCCGTTACTGAAATAGCCGGCATTTCCCCTTTGTTACCACAGCCACTAATCCTCTGTCCCGCTTGGTATAATATTGTACTCTATAAGCATTCCGAGATAGCCCAAAAGCTCTTTTCACCAGGCCACCTGGTGTGTGTGCATCAGTATGCATGTAGGAAGCTAGCAGGAAGCCCAAGAAATACTATACCAATGCAAAAAAACTACCTGATGGCATAATGAGGAACTTGGACCTCCCACTTGCATAGCAACCAGGGCTGTTGATAGGCATTGACCGCTGAGAGCACCGAGTCCCCGCTGGCTTATAAGGAGTTAAAGCGGGAATTCCCGGTAACTGGATCCAAAAAGCGGGGCTGAAATCATAGCCCGATGCCGTGCTAGGTCTGCAGGTTGTGAGGACAGGTAACCAAGAAACCAGCTGTGTTCGTGAACACAGTGCAGGGGGTGGGAGGCAGAAGGAATGTTGTGGTCAAGGGAGTAAATACCAGAAATAGGACGCATCGGCTTCCCCTCACGTAAACCAGGCCACCTGTGGTCGACGATGACGTCATTGTTAAGTGAAATGATGTAATTGTCGATAGGGGCAACAACACGGAGTGGTGAATGGACAGTGAGATGGACAGTGAGATTGACAATTCACTTGCTGCAGTGCTAAGCAACTTTATACAATCAAACATATTCAGGTCATAAATCAGACCCAAGTACTCCCGATGATGATTCGAATGAAGCCATTCAGCTGTGAGGGACACAACAGGGTCGAACCGCACATGCAGCGCTGAATCTCAAAATACTTCGACAAAGATTCAACTACATATCTCCAAGGGATACACGTAGAAATTGAATCTAGAATCTTGATTCTGCTCCAACAGCCTAATTTAAAAAAAAAAAACGCAACCACATTTCAGACTAAATTTAGTCCATTTCCCCGACTAGTTAAATTTTACCTCGTCCATACTCGAGCAGCAAACTTTCATATTATGTTGAACCAGGGAAGGTATTCAAGGTACACACTACATTATACATTATACTGGTAAGGAGTGTATACAGCCAGCATCTTTAATAAGGATGACATCATTCGGACACATATGTACCATACCCCACCTGAAGAAGTGGTATAATAGATAGTAAACGGGAGCATGTCTGTGGTGAGCATGTCTGTGGTGACCACACACACACAATGTGTGCATCCACCCATCCTGCTACCAAATGGATTCCACGTGCAGACGTATGCTGCATTTCTGCTTCATTTGTATCTCCCTCCTCTCCCATTTTAGACCATGAGTAGCATAGGGCTGCTCTGAATGCATTCCCGTCCAGTTGAATCACACTCCCATCCCATAGCACATCATGCAGTACTTGCGTGCCGTGGGGTTTAGCCTTTGCCTTGTGTGTGCGTTGTTGACGGGTCAAATCGGCAGGACGTTAGGGGTTATTAACATCACATAACCCGTGCATGACAGGTTAAATAGGAGGTAAGGTAAGCAAAGATGGGTGCAACATAAGAGGAAATTCCACGCATGTAATGAAAAGTAGCGGGGTAAGGGTGATTTTAATATTAAAATTATCACTCGGCAGTCAACCTTCACCACTTCCTGGCCCAAGTACAAACCAATGTTTTGTACCACATCCAGGTAGAAAGTCCTGTCCTTCGAACCCAGACAGACTGACGTGGGGACAGATGCAAACACGTGAGGCTCCAGGCAGGCTGGAGTTGGGCGGGTGTACATTGCAGGTAAGTAAAAGAGGTTTTTCACCACGTCACTCACCAAGTGGGTTACTAACTTCTGTTGGGTTTCGTACCAAAATTTGGTCCACATACGTACATACATAACTATACAGACACGGGACTCCCTGTAGCAAAGCTGGGCGATGTGCATGCATTTCCTACTACTTGGCAGTGTAGTATGCCGCATGTAGCCTCTAGGCAATAAGATGAGGTTCCTTGCTGTAGGAAAAGTGTCAATCACTGGTACTGAGTTCAAAGAATCCTCTAGTGTGTACAGAATTGTTAGCGGCAGAGGTGACACTTGGTTAGTTCCAAAAGCCTCCCCAAAGGATGTTGCCGCATGAGCAAGGTGTGGAAGATATGTGATAGGTTAGAGAATAAACAAGTGAAGGTGGAAGGAGAGAGAAAGAGAGAAGAAGAGAGTGGGGAGAGAAAAGAGAGAGGGAGGAGAAAGAGAGAGAAAAGTGAGCGGGGGAGGGAGGAGAAAGAGAGAGAAAAGAGAGAGAGAGAGGGAGGAGAAAGAGCGAGAGAGAGAGTGAGCAATGGAGAGAGGGAGGAGAAAGAAAGAGAGAGGAGGAAAGGGGCGATAGGTGAGGAGGAAACCCTGCTAACCCTCGTCCGGTGGCGTCAGGCTTCCCTCCGTCAGAAATGGCGACAGTGAGAGTTCGGATGTGGTCGGCCACCACTCGATATGCCATGTCGATCCCGTCGGCGTCCTCAGCACCAACTCTACCAGTGTAGACCCTCGTCCCCGTCACCTAGTGGTGGGGAGGATTGTTTGTGTGAGCCAAGAAACTAATACGAGAGATGCAGAAATTTTTTACGAAACCGTATAGAAATCACGACCTACCTGGTGTATGGTGTCAAAGAAAGGGGAGAAGAGGTCAGTGTCGTAGTTGCTCATCTTGTCCTGGATCACAGACGCGATTCTCTCCAGTCCCATTCCCGTGTCCACATGCTGCTTCGGCAGAACCTTCAGCTCCCCGCTCGTCTCTCTGGCCAGGCGAGGAGGGAGGGGGGAGGAGGGAGGGGGGGGAGGGAGAGAGGGGGAGGGAGGGGGAGGAGGGAATGGAACAGTTTGAGAGTTAGAGACGCACGTATATAGCAAGAAAAAAGTTTTGAAAAGCGTTTGAAAGCATGACCGACCGTCTCTGGGTGCATGGTCTACGGCTCCAGTGCAAGTAGGTATATACTTGCGACCAACATTTTTGGTGCCTTCGCAATATTAGATAAAATTTAATTTGATTAACTTTGCCTGCTAATAAACGTGTGGGAACGCGCGCAGGTCGTGGTTTGATGGGCAGTACCGCTAAACTGCTTCTATCATTCCCGGCGCGCAATGCGGTGACTTGCTCCCATGGTTACAGGTGAAATCTCCGAAACAAACACGTCCTCTGGGTACGTGACTTGGCCTATCTCCTGCATTCGTGCAAACCTACTCTGTTTGTATATCAGTCACCACTCTGTTGATAAACTAGTCACATACTTTTCTTCATCAACATCGCCCAATGACCCATCCTTCATCAACATCGCCCATGGACACACACACATGGCTATAAAGAACAACCAACCTCCGAAGCCTTTTGTTGACAAATCGTGCACCCACTCCTATGAACACAATATGCCATACATGGCGGCAGGCTGGGGGGGTATGGGGGTTTAATCCACTCCAGATGCACACATTCTGAATCACCTTGACAATAGGGAGTCTTCCTTCACACAATACCGTGCCTCCAGTAGGTGAACATCATACACACATCACCTACCAATTCTGAATGGCCTAGCTAACAGCTCATGCATGAGTTTCGTAAACAAGTTGTGATATCTATCATCCATAAACCACCTCATAAACCACCGATTTAACCACACTTACATGATACTGACCATGATACTGACCATGCTACTGACTAAAGCATTACCAACTAATGCAGGATAAACCACTAGAAACCCCAGCACTATCAACAGTCTCCTCTTTAGACTGAAAAGCATAGAGATTTACCAACTAATGCAGGATAAACCACTAGAAACCCCAGCACTATCAACAGTCTCCTCTTTAGACTGAAAAGCATAGAGATTTACCAACTAATGCAGGATAAACCACTAGAAACCCCAGCACTATCAACAGTCTCCTCTTTAGACTGAAATGCCAGGAGACCCAAATGGCAGTAGGTTTCAGGTAGTTAGGGGTTCACAGGTGAACTAATACACAATACGTCGCATTGCCTCGTCGCGCAATGCTGCGTTGCCACGTCGCGACAATAGAATCCACTTCTACCATTGCGGCTACACGCAACGCGGCGGGGCAATGCGACGTATTGTGAACCTAGCCTAACACTCTGTCTCGTCCTCCAGCTCTTAAAAATGGATTAAACGGGTAAAGTGTACTTTGGCACTCTCCAGACAAAACGACATGCCATTCCTTAACCGAAGAAGCCTTACTGGGGCCATTGGATCGTTATCGGTCTGGCGAATGGAGCTTAGGAATTCCTATAAACACCTTCCAATGATCACATTACGTCCAAAATGGCGAAATAATGCAGACAAACTGGTGATCAGTGGAGAAAGTTTGTAAACAGAAACGTGGGCGAGACTCACGCACAGGCACAAAACTATTTGGCAAACTTGCAGCAATTGTACATAAGTGACTGAAGCCACCTTTTACTGGCATAATTACAATATTATAGGAAGAAAATATTTCGAGTGGCAAGCCAGTGATGCATTACAGAAACCATTACACCGCACCTCTAGCCTGGTGCAAGCTGGCACTTTTGTGTGACAGAAACCAACATGCATGAAAAACATGTTAATAGCATACTAGCTACGTGCGATTACTCTAAATAACGCACAACATATACACGTGTAATAAAAATAGAAATGTCAGACAATAACATATAAACATGTGTCTTTTGTGTGGCTAAAATTAGACCTCTGAAAACGGACCCTCCGAATACGGGATACCTCTCAGACAGTTAGTTCTGCCCCCCCATTACTACGTATGTATATACATCCGAACAAGTGGTGCCTCTGAATACGGGACACCTCTCAGACAGTTAGTTCTGCCCCCCCATTACTACGTATGTATATACATCCGAACAAGTGGTGCCTCTGAATATGGGACACTTGCAATGTCCCCAAATTGTCGTCCCGTATTCAGATATTTCGCTGCAGCTGTTTCAAAAAGGTGCCTGGTCCTAACCACCTAGTTGCTGTAGGTATGCTAATGATAAGAGCTCTAGGGGCATCAACAAAGAGCCACCACCTTTCCTTCCTCCCTCACGAAAGTTATTCAGCTAATGCGTAGGAATGCGGCCCACAATTAGAATTGATGTGCCAGATACAAACAATCTTATTGGTGAAATTAAAAAGATGGTTCGGTAATTATAGGATGTGGTCGTAACCTTATACCACCAGGCTACCATTATAAAGACTGTGAACTATACATAGAACAACTCTATAGCTATATTTGGCCGTTGAAGGGTCCCTCCATATTCAAACGTAGCCAGAAATACCTACATAGTTGGCATACGAAGCATTGAAACAAGGCCGATTGGTTTCAACGAGAATAGCTCAAGTGGTTGCAATGCAATTTGTGGAAATCAGCATTGCATCATTTAAGAAATGGAAACAAAGAGTGTACACATTGTATGACTTAACCGCCCTACCAGGAAGTAAATAGTGGCCATTTATTAAATATACTTGGCCGAATAATTCCCAAGTGTCATAGTTTCGAATTTGGTCTCCAGGACGATTTTGAAGGTCTGCCAGGAATGCGTGAGGAAAAGGAAGTCGGGACATGTGCATAATTTCCACACAAGCCTCCCATAGTTGGCTATTTCTAGGACCCGGCCAAGTTTGGATTTGCAAGTACCGCACGACAAGTAGTGAGCAGTGCAGAACCACTTCAGGGGAATCGTTACGCCACCTGTTGCAACCACTTCGATCACTTTCAGCTACATGCCATACCTCACAATTAGCTCCGTGAATTCTCCACGGGTAAACGAGGTGCTTTCTCACGCATCGCTAAACATAATAATATACCGGTCCACATCCGGTTCGTGATTTGCATAGCTGAGTGGATGCCACGAAACATATGATACTCGATTCGACGGGGGCATTAAGCATCATATAGCACCAATTATGGACACGATATGTACGTGCCTCAGAGTCATTATCCACTTTAATGCATGACTGGTGGCACCGTATGCACTCCGCAAACAACCTGGCACCTGTACATATACTACTACCATCTTAGGTAGGACTGGTGTAATATCATCAGGGTTAATGACTCAGATCAACCTGAAATAGTGAATGAACCTGGCACGCTGATCCCTATTAATAATCTTGTCCACAATATCCTATCGGATTGATCAAAACCGATATGAAATGAGCCTCAATCATAGAAATCTCGAAACTAGATTCAGTACACGTCAACCATGTTGGTCCAGATTAAGGGTCGATTCAGATAAATCCCAAATTGCGACTGGTAACGTTACTCAGTTTCACGTACACAAATCAAAATCTACCAGGCCCGCTCGTTTCAAGTAGTGGCAAAGAATGTCCCCCAATTTCAACATTAAACCGACTCTAAAAAAAGTCTAAATCTACCCAGACGCGCCTTTATCATGTAGTGACTGGTGAGGAAAACAAGACCATGTGGTGTGTTCAAGATGAGCGCCTCATGACGCCAACACATTGCTAAATTTGGGAAGAAGGGCACGTCTCGAGACGTCGTAACTTGCTTTGCAATGTAAATCATCCCCTCGAAATATTTAATAAGAATGGAGGTGAACGTGGCTAGAGTTTCACCAAGAATGCTAATCTCGTTTTCACAGAGGAGATTGGAGAACGGCCAATATGTGGACTAGAGTGACAGCTGGGGGCAGCACACAATAACAACAAATATGTGACACACCTAACGCTATAATTCAATTAAGTGAAGATGCACGACAGGCACATGGTATGAACTACGGTTGAGTAATATAATTATATAGGGGCATAGTGACTGGCGAGTACAGGAGCAGTCGTAACATCGGTCGCTAGGTAGACAACCAGGGACGTGTTCATGTTTGGTAAACAGTTTGTGTCACTTCGTTTGTTAGCAGTAATCATCAGAGAAGACTGCACGTGTGACCGCCCACTCACATCCCCCCACCTCATCATATGCACACGTGCAAAGGACACAGATAAAGGGCACACACACATCTCTGTGTATTGTATGGTAGACTTAGAGCCCTTCCTTATAGGACGGCATGGGTTTGAGTCCCAGAGTCTAGCAGGAAATTTGGATAAATGTTGGCCTTGGTCTCATGGATTACTCTTTCCTTGCTTTTGTGCCTCACTTACCAGAGTGCAATGGGAGCAAGAGTGAAGTATACATCGGTAAGGAGGTATATTTTGAGGTGGGAGTGGAGGTCTTCATACACTCATTTCTTGTCTCGTTGGCTAAAAACATGTTACATCATAGTTACTACCGGTGCCTGCTGCATGAAAAATTGACAACTCAAAAATGGACGCAGTTCCTTTCTTCCCTGTTAGACAAGCCAGTGACTACAGTGGAAATGGCATGTCAGTAAACCTTCCTTCCACAGTTACTCCTACTCCAGAGGACATTGCTACCGTCACATTTGCCACCACCAGGACGAAGCACTCTACATACCATCCGACCATGGCTTCCGACCATTGACCAGCCACCACCTCAAAAAACCCACAGAATGGATCTACAATCCAAACCTACTATATACACCTCACCTTGCATACGTGGTGTACGTACGTATGCATCGTTTTTCATGCATTACGAAATCGAGGTTTGGATCACATCCACGTGACTAAATGGATGATTTGATGGTGGAGGTAATGACATGTGCCCGCACTTAGGGGAAATTTAGGAACCTTGGCTATTTTTAGGAACAGTTTCGCATTAGGTAGGGCTGTAAGAGTTTATTTTCGTAATCCTTGGAGGAGGTTGGTCGTTGCTAAGCACATCAGAAGTACAAATTGCACCATGATTTGCAATAATGTTCGGCTCAACAACTTAGTGCTGGTTTGCATGAAGCATAAATGAGGTACAAAAGCAAGGAAAACCATGGCCAACACTTCTCCAAAATTTCCTGCTAGACTCTGGGACTCAAACCCATGCCGTCCTATAAGGAAGGGCTCTAAGTCTACCATACAATACACAGAGATGTGTGTGTGTGCCCTTTATCTGTGTCCTCTGCACGTGTGCATATGATGAGGTGGGGGGATGTGAGTGGGCGGTCACACGTGCAGTCTTCTCTGATGATTACTGCTAACAAACGAAGTGACACAAACTGTTTACCAAACACGAATGATGCACACGTCTTCCTCTTCCCTAAATGGGGCCAGCTGAGCTGCGTGCACACACACACACAACACACACACACGTGCAATCTTGCAAGGGCACATCAATTCGGCATTATTGAACCACGTCCGTGTTTAAACAAACTAACCTACACAAGAATTCTCGATCAATTCAACTCAACATTGATCGCATAGTGCGATATCCTGCCAAGATTCAGCACCCTTGCATTACCACAGAATATGTTTACTAAACACAACGAACCTACACGAATTGCAACCACCGACGACCGTATGTACCATTTCTCTACTATCACGCCTTCTGATTACACTCAGGGACTCTGCGTTACATCATGCCTTTGATACCCACCTACATCCCGGTCTAGTCGAAGGCACACACACACGCACACATGTATAGTCATGCCTGTAAATGCACGAGCAGTCAGTGGGTACAACTTACTTCCTACTCACCCCCAACTTGCACAAAAAGGGGGTCTTAATTAACATTACACATTGATAAGGAGTGCATACTATATCCCACCTTCACCTATAAACATTGAACCCTCATTGAACCCTCTACGTTCAGGTTCAAATGTACGCACACATACATACATCACAGCCCCACCAGTCAGTGTGCACGTGTGCCTCATGGGCTGCACCAGATATACCCACTACATGAGGTGGAAATGAAGTAGACGTGTACCAGGAAATGGACACCAGGAAATCTCGATCGCCCCCCTCAGAGGACGACTACGTACTTTTTAAACACAACATGAAGACTTTGAAAAATGTTATGGACTTTCATGGCAGTGGGAAAGACAGCATAAGCAAAGCCCCTCCTTTGTGGCTACTCTGAAGCCAACGTATGTACCATAGGCACCATTGGTACAGTGCATTATAGAGCTATGAGTAACCGAATGCTGGCATTTCAGGAAGTTCAGAGGAAACGCATTGAATTCCTCTCTGCTTCTACTTATTCTTGGTGTTACCATTTATGAACACACACAGTGGTGCTATAAACCCGCGCATAAACGTTTCCAAAAATGGAGAACAGATATATATAGACCACTTTCAAAAGCGGATGTGTACGTAGGCAACAGGCAACACCATTTCACTCTAGCCTTTAAACTAGTGCAATTGCTAATGACGATATTATGACGATGTCGTGGGATGAGAAAATGGCACGTGTCACCAACTCAGCAACACCCGCCGAATTAGCAATCTGGAAAAGACTCTGCGATGATGCCACACAGACAGATTTCCACGATATAGGCTCCGTGAATGGTCTTTGTGATGAGCTAGCAAACCTACTCGGGGCTTCCACCCAATTGAAACTACGACACAAACCACCATTACACATCAGAAGAATTAACACATCAGCATAATAGCCCCATGCCTCTATAATATTGGTAGGTGTACCATACTATGTAGGCAGTTGAGAGCTCATGTCTCACCGAACAATTCTGCACTCAAGGAGGATTACTTACCACCCGGGCCAGGGATATTACGTGAGACAGTGTCAACTGCACCAAAGCATAATTTCACTGCCGTGTGTGTGTTGGCGTGGCCGCAAGGTCCGCCCCAAGATCACTGGCCATGTGCAAACACGTGTTTGGGGGTGTGACGTTGATCGACACCTGACGCGATTCGAATTTCACGTCGGCTCATTTCGCACATCGGTTGAAAGAATTGGGCGGAAATTCGAGAACCTTCTACCTCAATCACCACTATAACATGGTACACACACTGAGCAGCTCCACATACTGTACCTCCTATGATGTTATATGATGTGTGATGTGAGCTACTGAAACTGCATAAGGTCCCCACACCCACAGACTCAACTCTATTACCCAGTAATGTGCTCTGGAGCAGGTGGGCCAAACACCATCAATTAGGTCATTATCCCAGTAATTGAGCTAATGGCACGTGATTATGGCTAATTTCTCGCATCAGGAAATTGCCGGCAAGAGGACAAGAGTGTAAATACATCTTTTCAGTGTTAACACATGTTCACTGAAGAAGAAACATGTACGAAGCCTGCGCGAGGAAAGGAATGCTTTATCGGCACCGGAGGCATGCGCGGAATTTTATTAGCGTCCCCAGCTATGATTACATCGTTAGTAAACAAAAGCTAAATTCAAATCCGAGCAAAAGGCAGCGCGGCATTCCTCGAAGAGAGGTGTTTGCGAACATTAACGCATTACCGACACTCTAGGTAGTCAATTGTCCCACGCGCACGGACCTCAGTGGCACTCCTAATACAGCCACACATACAACAGTGGGTCCTCTTTGATGGTCATAGAGACATGGAGAGGGGTAATTCAATCAAAGGCTCGCCGATTTAGAGTCACCAAGACAACTCATGCAACCACGTCGAGTCGCTCGTCTACTTGATTGACATTCCTGGTTGCCCTACACACATGCACTGTGCCGTATAGCACCGTACTGTGTTGTGTTGTGTTGTAGATTCGAACCCTACCAGCTGAGTTGCCCTGGTAAGCTCAGTTGGTAGAGCGCTCCAGTGTCATGGGTTCAAATTCCACCTAGGGCAGTTCTTTGGAAAAAAAGAGCTGTCCTGGGTGTAGTTGATTTGTTTGTTGTGCCTTTGCCTTTCTACCTCTTAGTTTTCACATGCACCATTCAGCTACCCTTCTTCCAATTACTTAACAATACTTCCACTTTGGACGCAGACACTCGCGAGCTGGCCGGGGACACGTGCACGCGAAATTCCCAGACTGAAGAACTGGGTCAGAAACGAGGACACTTCGTAGCGCGACGCAAAAGGAGATTTCTTCAGTTTTGGGCAACATCAGCTTGCACGCACTCTGCGTCCAATTATACTTGGAATTTAAAAAATTCAGGAATCTGACTTTTTCCATGCACATGCTTATTTTTGAACATCCGGCATGCAACAATTATTTTCCCATTACTATTATAGGGTGTAGGGGCTTACTTATTGAACTGAGTAAAAACGAGATTCCAAATCTCGAGAAGGTCAGGGTCATCCATGTTGACCAGTTCTGGCACCTCGCGGTCCCCGATTCGGTCGAAGTGGATCTCCGTACACGGACCACACGGACCAAACTCTCCCATCTCCCAGAAATTGTCCTTCATCCCGAACGGGAGCACCCGATTACTGGCAATGCTGCAGGGGAGAGGGGAGAGAGAGAGGGGGAGAGAGAGAGAAGCTAGAATACTCTCCATATCGAACGACGCTGGGCGTGGTCTAATTGACAGGGTTTTACTACGCGCAGCACATAATCAGCAGTAGTAATCCGGCAGCTGCAATCACTCACTGTGCCACCCGGCAAAAACGCAGCCTCTTAGCCCCCCCGTCCGTGTACACAATGCCCGGCGGACTTACAGAGTAATGCAGGCTGTTGTGCATAAACATTTTCCCAATTAAAAACCAACTATGCAAGCTGGTCGAGTCTTATGCTGCTATGGAGTGTTATGCAACATTATATTGTTATATACTCAGGCACATAATGCCTACTACGGTGGGACGTATAAATAAACCAACGAGGCAAAGAGGTGCGTAGACACTTGTTGAGGAGAAGAAGAATTGCTGTTTCTGCAGTGCCGATGCGACCAGTTCTGATTTCTCAAGATATGGATGTAGTACTAGTGTATTTACTACGTATTCTTGCAGTCCAGGTGTTAGAAATGGGGACGCTACTTTTGAACTGAGGACGGGTGTCTCGTTCTCTCACAGGTACAACACACAACATTCAGTTGTCTTTTCAGCAACTAAACTCTCCCTCTCCCCCAATCTCTCTCTCTCTCTCTGTTTTTCTCTATATCTCTCCCTTGTTTCTCCTCATTCTTCCCTCTCTCCTTCCTCTTTTTCATCTCTCCTTCTCACCATCTTTCTCCCTCGTTTTTAATTCTTCTCTCTCCATTTCTCTATCCTTCTCTCTCTCTCTCTCCTTCTTTGTCCCTCTCTCCCATTTACTTCCTCTCCCTCCCTCCCTCCTCACCCGAGGTCCAGCCATATCTGTTTGGTCTCCTCGTCAGACGGAAGATTAAACTCGGCGCATCCACCAAAATAAGTCACATACATTCTCTCCTTCGGCAACTTGTAGACGTCGACTAGCAATTCCCATGCCCAGTGGATGGCTTCTTTCTGAAGATTGTTACAACATGGTGATCTTCATCTGTGTATATCTCTACTCAGTACTCTAGATATGTACACTTACAACATTATTATTGAGGACCACAGCATTCAACAGGGATATACCTGTGCACTATGGGCTCAGACTGACTTAATTACACATGAGCATTGCTTGAAAATTAAATGCGCACTTTTTACACTCATACAGAAACATATTGGACCCCAACATGGTCTAAAAATATTTCATTGCAACTCGGCACTTCTGGGTGCGTGGTCTATGCCCCTAGTGCTATGGCAGCCACCTCAGTAGTATTATTATTATTACACGGCACTGTAGCATTAAACAAATGCAGTCCAGCAACTTCTAAATATAGAACTTACACACATCTACTATTATTACACACTGACGCCATTGCATAGGAACGGGAAACGCGAGCGAAGAAGCTACGCAATCTTCACTACTGGCTACCAATGTTTGCGGCAACAGCGCTCAACACGTAGCCAGGAAACATTTGAAACAGCCCGGCGAGATGGGATATAGCATATGACAACTCACTAAACAAGGCAATGCCATATGGAAACACGACCAAAAATGATCAAAACCAAGCAACATCATCGGGTACGGTATCCCAGTTGCCGCGGCAAGGTGTGAGAAACAGGAAATCCGAGTCAACCAGCTATAAACCTCCAAATATGCATGGAAAAGTGGTTATGAACTCACAAAACTATGCCCTCCTGTTTACCCTTCACTTCCTGCTTATTGCACCTCACTGGTAGCCCTTTCTTTGTACATGAGACCAATACTTTATGTTATAGCACCACTTCCCAGCATACATTAGATGAACTATAGGTATGTGCAACATAATTATACGGATGCATGAAGATAGAGCATGTAATAGGAAGTGACAGGTCAGTACTGTGGTGTATGATGCATTGAATCACTTGGAGTACAGTACGTGTCATAGGGGTGGGAAATCAGTGTCATTACCATAACTTCCTAATATAGCCAGACAAGTACATATAATCGGGACGTGAGGTTACGTGATACGTGACAGTCAGACCCCCCCCAAAGAAGAAGGGGTATTATTGAAGATGATTTACGTACAGACTTGGAAACTATACGTAGACCTGGAAAAATATTCTAACCACCCACATTCTGTGAGTGTATTGTATGGACTTGATGAGGGATTATAGTACTCTGTGCCTGGTTGTATACAACATCCGATAGTTACCCAAAACTCCAGGGGAGGTAGGGGTGGGGTCTGGGAACAATTAAAAGTGCCAGTGCAAGAATTCTGAAGGCTATCCAATAAACATTACCTCATATCCATTAATCACAGTAATATAATAATTATAGCTCCTAGCCCCCACCCTTTAGTAATGTGTGCCGTGTTAATGGACATTGAATGATCACTACATAATGTATATGTTCCACGGAGAGTGCCCTGCTGCTAGCTACATGGTGCAGCTGGGCCCAACAGCCAAGAAATCCAGTGACCAATCTTCAGGGTCTTACTCCCACGCCTGAGACTGGTGGAAAATCCCACAAACACTGCCAAAGATTGAAGAGGCATCATTTTCAATTCCCAACAAACACTGTCTTGTCTCAGCCAACTGAACTGTAAGAGGCAGGTCAATAGCCCAATTGCTGGAACTACATTTGTTCTGTATTCCACCTTCAGTCTGCCTAATGGCTGCTTGTAAGACTACAGTAAATACGACATAATGCCAAAAATGAACTCACACATAGTCACAAGACTGCAAGCACTACAAGAACTGGGCAATGCAAATTTCTCTTATGGATGCATGCACATAGACAGCGTGTGTAAAGTAACAGGCCCCTCCCTTAAATATTTGATTTATGGCCTCCAATCATACAATATCAGCTAATAAGAGGAGGGTGGGTACAAATTACAAGTGTCCCTCAGATGCTAACTCAGACCTTAAAAAAGTCTCCGAAAGACCAGTTGCCCAACATCTCGAAAAAGGTGTGGTGATATGTGTCCTTCCCCACGTCATCCAGATCGTTATGCTTCCCTCCGGCTCTTATGCACTTCTGCGAGTTGACGGCTCGAGTGAGTTTTCCCATGTCGCTGGCCGGATCTACCGTTCCCTGGAAGATTGGTTTGAACTGTAGGGGGAGAGGAGAGAGAGAGTGTGTGGTGTTGTGTGTGACAAATGAGTAGTGGTCACGCTAGAACACAGGCACGCACCCTCCAATATCCCAGGATGAAACTAGAGTCGGACAATTCACCTCGGAATGACAAACAGGTGCGTACATCATATGGTGTGAACAAATCCCCAGTCGATCACATGTGTGATACTGATCCACTGTCCCCCCCACAATATGTTGTCATATTGAGTGTCAGGCAAACAGGCATTAGCAGACCACTTCCATTTCACACACACCTCCACATGTAACCAGCCCAAAACTATATATACACAGCGCGCACAAAACTGACAACAATTAACCAAAAGAATATGTTTTTGGTGATTAATGTGTGCAATCTGAATATTGTAACAGGACCATTGACTAGTGGCGGTCAAGCTCACCAGATAAGGCAATTTATTAACCTGATATTAGATCAATATGTACAATGATATAAACCGAGGCACTGAAACGATGCAAATCTTGTCATGAAGCCCCAACTTCAGGGCACATTACCTAGAATTATAAACTGATACCTGAACTGTATCACTGGATGTATAATATGTGTGTGCTCTCTGTAGTCCAGCTGCGTGCATTGATGTATTGGGCACATTCCTATAATTATAACCACACAACGATACCTGAACTGTACCACTGGATATATAACGTGTACTATAAGAGAGCCTGTAGTGCTCTATCCAGCTGTGTGCATTGATGTATTGGTGCACTTGAGTGGATTTGATACTGACTCAAATTCCACAGGCTGTTTGCTCGTTGCTAGGGTTAGACACGAGGAAGAGAGAGGGGGGAGGAAGTGAGAAGATAGAGAGGAGAGAGAGAGAGGGGGGGAGAGAAAGGAGGGAGGGAGGAGAAGAAGAGGAAGGGAGAGAAGGTGGGGCAAAGAGGGAGAGAAGAGAGGGGAAGAGAGAGGGAGATACAGGAGAATGGGTACCCCAAACATGACGTCTATTGGACAGTTACATACAATGAGGATAGCTGAATCCTATGGGGAAACCTCTTCGGAGTGCGGCTGGGGCACCACAAGAAAAATTAGTGGTTTCTCTTTGACAGCTGTGGAACATTGTCGCGAGAGGTAAAGATGACACCACAGTGGGTGCCACGGTGACAGCTACACACACACCAATAGGTTTAGACAAGAAGTGAACACAGTGCTGACTGTAGAGGCTTTTTGTACAGCAAGCAGACACTGCATAAAGAGACTCTGTTCCTTTGACTAACAAGACGGCCCCTTATAAAATTGCCGTCAACACTGGCACATTTGTAGGACCTATGACCTGTGAAAAAGGCGCAAACAAATTGTGCGACCATATTCACTCACCTTGTTCAAATGGTTGCCTTCACAACGGACAAACAACACACGTTCACGTGAACCCATACATTTTTCGAGTACACGCAACAATATTCGCCAGACGAAAATTCAATTTGCTATAATACACTGGCGCCACTTTTTCCATTGCCGGCTCTGTCGGCAAAAGCACTAAGGAATTATCTATCCATCGAATACAAATTTCATCTATTCACGCCCCGCGGACACAAAGAAACGGGTACAACTGGCGTGGCGATGGTGGGTCTCATGCTTAATCCACTGTTCCCACTGGAGCACGTGCCCAGTCCCCCTTTTCTCTCCAACTTGACTGGCAGATCAGTTTAATTATCGATTGAGCGAAAGCTACGCCTGCGATAGGAGATGAATAGAAGCAAACATATCGCGTTCCATACCACTACACCAGTGACCACCACGGGTGGCCTCTGATGAAATGTGCGTATATAACATCGACACCAGTGTAGACCTCCTTAAAGAGAGAATGGGTTACGTGTGGAAGTGTACTCGTGATATGTATGGACCTCTGCTGGATGATTTGCGATGTATGTACGTATGTACCAATGACATAGAGAATGAATATAAGTACGAGATTGCAGGGTTTGGACACAAGAAAGGCAACTACAATAACGTGATCTTTTCAAAATCACACATTTGATGGAAACGTAATTATAGATGATCTAAACCTCAAACAAAAGGTGTGTATACACTAGGCAATAGCCATTTTAACCTTTCGATCCACTATAACTCTATTGAAAAAGACTAACAGAACAAGATTTAGCACAAGTAGCCCAGTCTGCGAGACAAGGGTAGACTATAAGTTTACACAGACGACTGAGAGCTCGAGTTATTGGTCAACAACACCACAATGACAGACCCCCAGACACTTAACCAGTTTTCAGTAATCTGATCGCCTGCCCAGTCCCATGATGTTTGGATTAATGATCACTTAGTTGCTCATTTGTTTGCCTATATATCACTTTGCATAATTAATACCCTGTTACTTTTTCTGTCTCTCTCCATCCCCCACCTCCTCCCTCCCCCTCTTCGCCCTCCCTCTCTCCCGCGCGGATCACGCTCGCAGCGCACCTGGTTCATGCCAGCATTAGCAAACAGTAGTGTGGGGTCATCATGGGGTATGGTGGAGGAACTGGGCCAGTGGACGTGCTGTTTCTTTTCCACAAAGAAATCGATGAACATCTGTCGCAGTTGTGTTGATCTCAGCGAGGCATCCATCACTGTAGCCTTTCTATGTTCTAAATCTGCTAGTGTTGAGTTGAGTCTCCTACAGTTCAAACTCTGTTGGAGGGTGAAAAAATAGTTAGGCTTTCAATGATGCGTGGCTCACTACATGTATGCTCCCTTACGCTTGTATGCAACTACATGCCACGTGGACACAGGAGAATAGTAGTGCTACAGTGGCAGGCCGGCTCGCGGGTAAATAATCGCGTTGTCAAGCTGGCAGAACCACCTATTTGCAGCCGAAACAGCTATATAAGCTCTCCTTGTCCTACGACAGCTGGGCCCCTGGAGGTTTTACTAGCTACTGGAGCTATAATATTATACTGTACGATGTAATGTGTGCTGTGCTGTGCCAACATCTCGACATAAACTCACTGGCAGCGATCTGACTGGTTCTGAGAAGTGAGAGACTAGGGCGTTGCGTTGAACGGTCGAGGATGCGCGGCCCAACACCAGGAAGAACCGACTCGGTCCAACTTGCATTACACAAGGCGGATGATGACGTCATGGCTGCGCAAGCCGGAGCAACCTTGGAATGTTCGGAATGCGATGAAGCTGACTGCCGTCGTATATAAATGCTCACGACTTAGTCGTCCAAGCATAAAGTTGTAGGCTCAACAACCAATACAGACAAAAGTCATCGAAATATAGTGCTGTTACTAGCCGCTCCAGAAATCTCCAGCAAGTTGGAGCTCATCATTTTGCAGATCTCAGTAAGTGCGGACGGAAACCGTATCAATATACAAGCAACCAAGATCTCTCGCACAAGTTGCTAGCTCAGTGCATATTTAGCTGCTACAATAATCCCAGAACGGTGCATCAAGTCTTTCAGTACTACAAAAGTCGTAAACTCTGCTCATAGCTATCTCTATTGTCTTCTGCAGGTCCAGTAATCGAAACTCAACTCAATAACCATGCGTCAAGCAGCAGTACGGAGCTCTTTTTTACACCGACTTTGCAAATCCGCACTCTTTCTTACTCTATTACCAGTGAGTTGGCGCCGTAGCTATACAAATACAAATACATTCTATACGTGGGTGTATTTTAGGAACTCGTGTGCTGCAGTTATTATTATGCAAATTCTCATTCTTATCTACAGCTACTCGTTCACTCTCAAGGAAGTGACACAGTTAATAGGTAAGGTAATAAAGTTCCATAGCATCTTCACATTTCATTGAAGTTTCATGCATAATCTTACAGCAATTGCAACCGAAACTGCGATGGACATGAACTGGATCAAGTCTGTGCATCAAACGGAGTCACATACGATAACAGATGTGAAATGGAACTGGCTGCCTGCCGCGAAAACATTGAGCTAGTTGTTCGAGACAACGGCCCATGTAAGTCGATCCTTGCATTTGCATGCATGTCTACTGAACTATTGGCATGCAGAGAATTCCAAATTGCACAACAAATCAGAAGCCAAAGCCACACTAGAAGAGGCTTCCTAGGGGTCTATTGTAGCTCGAAATGGGCAGAATACCGGGCCAAATAGAGGCCCTATAGCTCTCAGTTTTGGCTGCATCATGCAATTTCTTTTGGGAGGAATGTATTAGTTTACTGCTGTCTCGCAACTTGACCACCCCACAGGCAATGAACCAGTGGCACTTATAAAATCTGGGGAAACTTGTCAACAGCACAGGAGCCGCATTGAGAGCTACCAACGAGAACGTTCCATGCACCCCGAGTGGGATGCCCTCTGCTCGTCACTGGCAAACAAATCCACAATCACAATGAGAGATCTCATCGAGTGCTACACCCCAAGTTGCCACGTCAACTCTTACTCTGCGGAACAGTGTCACACGTTGTACAAGAGCCGATGGGACTCAGTCGAATGGTGCTGGTGCTCTGGACCAACCGGACTCAGTATTCCAGACACACTCACCGATAGTATGCCGGACAACCAGTGTGGTAAGTCAATATAGCCTCTTTTCTACCTTCCTTTATAAGTAGCCTTACTCTCTCCATCCATTCGGGATAGCTAACTCTGTCTAGTTTGACCAGCTTTAGAGTGGGAAGAAAGCAAAAGAAACTAAGTTACATATCGTCATCTATCTTGCAGTTCTGAGGCAGTCGTGTGACTTCCGTGGAACACAGCATTCTGATGGTGAAGTATTCCAGCCAAACCATGGATGTGGGATATGGTAAGTCAAACTTGAACACACACTCTCACACACACACACACACTCTCACTCTCTAAGTATGAATGCCTGTCTGCATGTAACACGAAATCTTTCACCAAAAATGTTTTCAAGTATGAACAGCGGCCAGTGGCACTATATAATAATACTCCTCTGAATGATACATTATGTTCTTTTTCACACAGTGAGTGTCTGGATGGAGACGTGGTATGCTTTGAGGACTTTGTCCCCGATATGGAGGGACGGCTAAACAGCAGTCAACTCGACCAGCTCAGCGATCTCCTCAAACTGTTCTTCTACTTTGAGGACGAGTGCACAAACAGCATCGTCAACGACATAAGAGTCATCTCGCGCCGAATCAACACCACGAGTGAGTCAGAATTGATACACCATTATCGATATATTATATAATACTGTTGGCGTTCATTTTAATTCAATGGTGCCAGTCAAGGGACAATGTCCCGAGGCAATTTGACACTCCCATATAGGCAACAAGAATTTGTGCAAGTATTCAGCCTCGATTCATGTTTGTAAACAGAAAACAAAGGCCACTCGACCTTCCCCACTCGATATAAGTACCGATATATAAACATTCCCATACAGACTAGACCACACCTCCAGTACGATTGATCTGAAAGATGCTATTGTTCCCCGAGCAACTTTCCTAGTGTATGCACGTGAATAGAAAACATGACATCATCAATTCACATCCCCCCCTCTCCCCTTTCTCCCCGTAATCACACAGTATCCAACGAGACACAGAGGCACCGGTTGTACAAGTGGTTCCAGCACTTTGACAAAGACGGAAACGGTTGCATCGAGCTGAACCACACCGAAGAGATCTCCTTCCACAACCACGTGCACCAGTTCACCTCTTGCAGACATTTTCTCGACCACATCAGCGACGAATTCGACACCGACAATAGTGGATCCATTACCCTGGACGAGTGGCTCAACTTCTTTGTTCGATACACAGCAGGTACGTACAGACATGCAACCATGCATCAGCATAATATTATTGTAGAGTAGAATATACAATTGGCTTGTTGGCACTGCTGCCCACGGTCAACTTTTAATACTTCCATTTTCAACGAGGCACCATGGATACAATTGCGCTGATTTTGGCAAGAGTGCAGTGCGGTTAGCTACTGATGAATTTTCCATTTGTTGCAGCGCCTAGACCGGAGAGTGGTGACCAGCCACCAATCATCGACAGGAGGAGCATTCCGAGCAGGTCTGCCATACCGAGGAGGTCGTCTTTACAGAACAGGAAAAAATTCTACTACACTCTCTCGTGAGATAGCTAACCCCGGTCGGCCTCACTGTCCTTCAAAATCACTTACTCCTGGATCGTCTCAACGTCATATTGCCTCCTCAACCAGTTTCAAATCTACTAGAATATTTTTCATACGGGTCCTCGAAGATACATGTTCAGAGAATAAATATTTATTTATTAATTGGCAGTCACTTTCAATTGCTTTATTATATCCTCATCTCCAACACCACCAACAGTAATATGCTCCCTTCATAACTTGCCATTCCTACATATTCTCTCTCAGGCAAATCACCCCCTCTCATCCCAGCTGTCATTATCATTGTACCACCATTGTAAATAGCATTGTACATATATATATTATTATCATTTTGGCTCTCCCTAATATTCAACACAACTCGTTCATAATACTATAAATGCAGCTCTTAACATTTAAACAAGGCTGTATATATAAAGTATTGGCGAAATATTGCTCATTGCTGTCTGTGAGCTGCTAAAATTAGATTATTTTTCAAGTATGCCAAATCAGAATTAAATAATGGCTGCAAATATTAATTACAGATTTGTGTGGCATATATATATTAGGCAGACAAAATTAACCTGCGAGCTGGCACTTGTGCAAAAAAGGATAGAGTGACAGTCGAATTTCATAATAAAGTGGAAAGATGAGTTGAATGGCGAGTGTGTTTGTCAGAGCCCCATTCTCTTAGGAGTTCTTCTGGGAGTAGCTGAGTCTACTCTGCCTGGAGTACAGATTGTCTGTTTCCTATACACAGAGTTCCATTAAACGTAGCACATTTTACAGTGGAACTTCAGAATAATGGGCGTACTGGGACCAGGCATTTTTTTTCCTTTAAAGGGAGGTTGTCCTCTCTTCATAGGTTAAAATGTACTCGAATAATAGAAATCTGACCTCCTGAAAGTGTTTTCTTCGTGTGTAAGAGGGGGGGGGAGAAGGGTATATAGTATGTCATAACCCCAGCCCCAAAAGTTTGAGACTAAAGACAACACCAGTTTGAGTTCCTTCCGTGCCACTGGAGCATTACGAAACAGCTGTGCTGCACCATTTGCCCACCACACAAACGAAACCGCACTCCCCCTCCTAATCTTGCTTATTTCCTTCCTCCATCTTGGTTTATGATGCTCTGATAGAACTATACAGGCCTTCTCCCCCTCCCTCCCTCATTCTTCTCCCCTCTCTTCCCCTCCCCCCTTCTTCCTCACTCTCTCTGCCTCCTATACTCACCTGATACTCTGTTTGAGTTGTTCCTTCTCCTGCTCTCTCCTCTCCCGAAGCTCCTCAGACGCTGCCTCTAGTTTTGCCTCCATCTCACTCTGTTTCTCTCTCAGAACTACCTTCTTCTCCTGTCAGCATTAACAGTAATAATGTGCTGTATTCCAATGGTAGTTAGTTCCTCGAGTGTCAGACATGCTCACGTGCACGTGACACAACCGATTAACAAACTTTACAGCAGGATAAGCAATCATCCCTCAATATATATTTGAAGAAAGTTTGCCACCATGACTCATAATTATATATATATATATATATATATACACCAGTTGAAAGATGCACTCTTAACATGAAATATCTTATGTGTCTAAATGTTTTAAAAACTGTAAAACGCCGCATCCCCATGCAAACATACACACATGCATTATGACACACAATTACGTAACTGCACAAATTACTTGGAGGTCTGTAAATTTGTGTGGTCTTTGTCCTAAATTCTCCCACGGGTGACGCGCCGCGGCACTCCTCCAAGCGCTATGTAGCCACAACTGCTTTAGTACAATACCAAGGACCCTTCAATACTATAACCCCCATTGCACAACATGTGGGAGGAGGGTTGTAGGAGACTGACCTGTCGCGTTCGTATGGACTCTTTGACAGAGAAGAACATGGGACCCAATTCAGCCAGCCACTCTCCGTCCACCACTGTCACACACTGCATGTACTCCTGTATGTATGTATGTATGTACATAGTATACCACAGATAGGGCTATATAATATATGTATGTACATAATACAGAGCAGTCTCATGAGCAGAGAGAAGGAGGGTGCATCAGGTGCAAATGTGTGTTACTGACATTGAGTATCATTGTATGTATGAAAAGTATATTTATAGCATACTAGCCACAGAGAATAGAAAAAAGAAAACCAGAAGTCACCCTCCACCCCCCATCCTCCACCCACACACAGACACAAACCACACAGTTGCACACAACCGGTATGTACACGTATTTGCCATATTATGCTGCTGCACATAAATGTATGGTGCTCCAAAGAGTGTGCTAGCTCCATTTCTACTCTACGGTGCACACCGGGTAATATGGATACTGGTTATAAACAGAGCTCAGCCGTCCAGCAGGTAGATATCGAGTGTGACCACTTAATAAAAACCCTTTGGGACCTGATGATGCAACACCCCCTGCAATCCTAGAAATTTACTACAGAGTATGTTGCCTTCACCAATGCTATACGTATATACGATATGGGGACAATATTAGTAGTGTTGATGAATTGAGTGACCCTGACCTTAGAGGTCATGACGAGTTCGTGATAGACGACGTAATCAGGGGTCAGCCCCATTCCAAATAGGGAGCTGGTGGGGTGAAGGTGGCAGGGCATCCCAGTGCGACAGTTGACGTACTCCCCAATACCCTGCATGTACATGGAGCAATAGAAAGAACTACATGAAAACAATAGAACCCTGGAAGAGTGTCCTTATTTGTGAGGCGCCCTTGTACTACAGGACTATCTGAGGACCTCATTAGAGAGGAGCCTTCATTGCAGGACAGAAGAGTGGGACCGCCGTGCATAAAAATATATATTTGCATTACGCACAACTTCTTATCAATGCTATCAAGCACCACGGTACCACAGAGTAAAACGGGTAGACAGCCACCGTCCTTGTCAACAGTGCTGGACTGTAGAGTTCTAATAGATGCCCCCCTCTCCCCCTACCTTTAATCGAGCAGCTTGATGGAAGTAGGAGCAGCAGATGCACTTGCGGACAATGTCCCATTCCGAACCACACGAAACCAGGGTCATCTTCTGCTGATCCATGAGGTCCTTCAGCTGCTGTCTCACCTCTCGGACCTAGTCAAGAGGAGAGAAATTATCGCACCCCTCATTCTGAACACGAAATGAAACTTCTGAAAAGGAACCCTCATCTGCATTAGTTATGCCACATACTGACACATTGGTGTATCACACTAGAACGAATGAAATTCGTCTTTTTTGGCAAGCGAACACAAGTGGTGCAATTTTTCGCTCGCATTATTTAGAATCACGTAAAGTCTTACAGTATATGCGGCACCGTCACGAATTAAAAAATGACTACTTAGGCTCACTTCGCTTGCCAATTATTCCCTCCAAATAAGGGTCTCTGACGGTGGGTTACTTATTTATTTAGAGTTCAATGTGTTCTAACCTTTCTCATGGCCTTGATGTGGATGAAGTGTTCGTTGCACCATCGTGAGGAGTAACTACAGAATAAGATTAACAGACTCTTCATACATCCAGAAATTTGATGGCATTTAAAAATTTTGCCAACGGCGATACTGCAATTTAGAACTTAACAGTGGCAGTATGCGCAGTACACTGTTGCATATGACCGTTCTAAAAGTGAAGTGCAAACAAACAGCAAAGTGAAGGAACTGCCCGTGTAAGTCACCTGCTGTATATAATACCTACGTACACACTAACATAGTTCTTTCTATTTGGCTGCACAATGGACCAGTGAAAAGCTGGTGCTACAGAAGTAGTGTAGTTTCTGTCCTCACTGGTTGGTCTTCCACTGCTGGTAGACGTGAAGATAGGTGAGATGGTCACTCTCCGGGACCTGAAATTTCTCTCTCGCCTGGTCGCTCTCCTCCTCCCTCCCCTTGGGACGGTAGAAGATGGCCGGCACCGACAGCATCGACACTATGATCTACACACACACACACACAGAATGGTGTACTGACATTAGATACAACAGGTCAGAACTGAAGAAGGACTGCATGCCTTGCTTCTCTATTACAACCAATACCTCAATGCACATGTTTCACAAAGACAATAGTAAACTGAGAGGCCCAATTCAGACTGTTGGTAGACTCACTTCGCTCACCAATAGCTAAACCACCCGAAAGTCTAGAGCAATTCATGCAGACCTTCAAAGTATGTATCCCTCCATACAGTACTATATACAGTGTGTGGAGACTGTATGTACTGTACCAGTATCTCTGCACTGCACTCCATGTCAACAGAGGCGATGAGCATCTTGGAGAGAGGAGGGTCTAGAGGGAACTCAATCATCTGTCTCCCCTGGGGAGTGAGGCTGCCCGTGTCGTCCAGAGCTCCCAACACCCACAGCTGGAACATGGAGTTCAGGATGTTGTCCTAGAGGGGGGGAGAGAAGGGAGGGAGGAGGGAGAGAGGGGAGGGAGGAGGGAGAGAGGGGATTGAGGGAGGGAGAGAGGGGAGGGAGGAGGGAGGGAGAGGGAGAGAGGGAGGGAAAGAGGGGAGAGAGGGATAAAGTGAGTGTGCACATTGTGCATAAGTACCAACACCAGAAAATATTTCCAGCAAGCTAAAGATTTTTTCCCGGAGTGTATGCACGGTCGATGGTGCTAGAAACCTTCTGCCATTAGACTGCATATACAGTCTCTCAGTTAATGACATACAAATCTGTATACTGAGCATTGTACACAGCAACCTGTGGAGGTATACAGATTTCTTTGCCAATAAATGACATAGAAATCTGTTTACCGAGCTGGTATAAGTACATAGCAACCTGTGGAGGTATGCACACATATTATTTTGCCAATAAATGACTAGAAATCTGTTTACCGAGCTGGTATAACTAATTAGCAACCTACGGAGGTATGTACACGGTTTTGTTTGCCAATAAATCACATAGAAATCTGTTTACCGAGCTCAGTGGTATAAGTACATAGCAACCTGTGGAGGAGGGTCCATGAGGTATAACTAATTAGCAACCTGTGGAGGAGGGTCCATGAAGTGGAAGTGAAGAAGATTCTCGACCCCCAGAGACTTGAGGAGAAGGACGACGTTGGCCAGGTTGGTTCTCTGGATCTCGGGGACCGTGGCAACCAGCATCTCTGACCTGTACGCCGCCTGCGTGTACATCCGGTAGCACTGCCTGCAGAAATGCCAGAACACCGTGATTTCCGATTTCTTTGGTTAGCACAAGGCCTCTGAAACTGCAACGGGGTTATGGCTGAGCGTGGCATTGTGCACTATGGCCCATGTAGTGACAACTTGACACAGTGGAACACGTAAAAAATACTATGTTGCATACATCACTTTGTTGCATGCTTGTCATTATCTGAACCGGTGTAGGACTGGTACTCTTATCTAGTATATGCATGAGGTGTTCACTATCATAAAGAAAAGTAGTCAGTTTAGCGTAATGCAGAATCGGATAGAAAAATAGAAAAAGGGGGGCTTGTCCGGGAATCGAACCCGGGACCTCTCGCACCCGAAGCGAGAATCATACCTCTAGACCAACAAGCCTCGCCTGACTAACACCCACACCTCTTCTTCAGAGGTCAAAACAGAGTCTCTGTCAAAAAGCATGTGTTACGTAAGACACACTTACCCAGCTCCTGTTCTTCCAGCACGGCCAGAGCGCTGGTTGGCATTGGCCTGCACGGGAACGAAATCACTTACAGGCCATGTGACAGTTAATTACATAAGGTTTAGAAACTGTGGCCGAAAACAGAAACTTAATTGCATTGTTGCACTTGGCCTGTTTGGTCCTATCATTAAATTTAGCGTACACACTGACATATTCCCATCATTCTAGGGATTACATGCGTTATCTTGTACCTCCACAAGCATTCACCAGACCCTTAGAGTGATGGATCCACAATTAAGGCCCACACACTCATAGCCAAAAAATAGACGGTCAATTGCTATACTTTATACAACACTCTGTTAAAAGGTTCCAAGAAGTAGCCACTTTTAGCAACGATAAGTGTATATACCTATTGCGGTTTTTATGAACGTGGCCGTACGTATGATAAACTTAGTAGCCGCATTTGGCTAATAATCATCATTTGGACTGGGCACACAAGGCTAGAATTGGGGGAGGGATGCATAGAGTAAATGTAATACCTGGCTGATTGGGAAGACTTGGAGGGCATCCATGCCGATTCGGGGGTTGTACACCTTCAACTTGCAGAACCCTCCGTCGATAACAAACATTATGCCATCAACTGAAACACGGGGAAATGGGAGATTATTACGGTGAAATCGCCACGGAACTATACGGGGAATGTATCTCTGCACAGACAAGAAAACACACTGACCGGTGAGTGAGGTCTCTGCGATGTTTGTGGCGACCACGCACTTGCGGACACCCTCGGGGGCCTTTTGGAAGATCTTTGCCTGCAGGTCAGAGGGGAGCTGGGAGTAGATCGGGAGAACGGCCAGCGGAGGAGCGTCCTCCAGCTCTGACAGACGGTCTGTTTGAGACGGAAGAGGAGGGAGGGGGGAGGGGAGTTGGGTGAAAGGTGAGAGAGAGAGAAAAGGATACGGAGAGAAAGAGAAATGAGAGTGACGGAGGTTGGGACACATGATTCTCAGCCAAGCTTTGCACAGTATACTTACCTACGAGTGCATCATAAGTAGAAAGGCTGGCTCAGGACACTTTATGGGGTGCACTGAGCAAGCATTGGTCATGCAGGTAAGCCATAATCACCCCTCAAGCTTTGCACGTGAACACACTCGCCTCCCCTTACACAATAGCAGATTGAGTAAAACAAGGAAGTTTTAAAAAGAACAGAGTCTATTATTGGGGAAAATCCTTGTTTTCTGCTCTGTCTTTCCACTCACCAGCGATGGAGTCACAAGTGACCTCTATCTCCTCCTGACCAGGCATGAACATGAGTATGTCTCCTCGCGATGGCTGGAGGTGGATCTGCACTGCCTGTTTCACGCTGCTCTCCACATAGTCTTCGCAGGCATTACGACTGTAGAGGACGTCCACTGGGAACGTTCTTCCCGGGATCTGAGGGGAAACAGAGGAGGCGAGGGGAGGGAAGTTGGGAAAGAAAAGAAGGAGGGAGAGGAGGGGGTAAAGGGGGAAAGGAGTGTAAAGCATGTAGATGAAGGAGGGGAGAAGGAAGGAAAGGAGGGGAGAAGGGAGGAATGAGAGAAGTTGTGAGAAGGAGAGAGATGAGGGGGGTAAAGGGGAATGGAGATGTCAAGCATGGAGATGAAGGAAGGAATGAGAGAAGTTGTGAGAAAGAGGGAGATGAGGGGGGTAAAGGGGAAAGGAGTGTGAATCATGGAGATGAAGGAAGGAATGAGAGAAGTTGTGAGAAAGAGGGAGATGAGGGGGGTAAAGGGGAAAGGAGTGTGAATCATGGAGATGAAGGAAGGAATGAGAGAAGTTGTGAGAAAGAGGGAGATGAGAGGGGAGGACAGGGGGAAAGTGAATAGGAGAGAGGAAGGAGGAGAGAGTGTAGGAAGAGGGATGAGGGGGTAAGGGGGAGGAGTGGAAGATGGAGAGAAGGAAGGAATGAGAGAAGTTGTGAGAAAGAGGGGGATGAGGGGGGTAAAGGGGAAAGGAGTGTGAATCATGGAGATGAAGGAAGGAATGAGAGCAAGTTTGTGAGAAAGAGGGATGAGGGGGTAGAAAGGGGAAAGGAGTGTGAATCATGGAGATGACGAAGGAATGAGAGAAGTTGTGAGAAAGAGGGAGATGAGGGGGGTAAAGGGGAAAGGAGTGTGAATCATGGAGATGAAGGAAGGAATGAGAGAAGTTGTGAGAAAGAGGGGGAGCAGGAGAGCGAGGGAAAGGCAAACGAGCAAAAGAGGCTGAACTGACCCTGAAGACTGGTACATTTCCAAAGAAGCTGGAAAACTTGTCAGCGTCCATTGTCGCTGATGTGACTAGCAGTTTTAGATCGTTCCTTCGAGACACGACCTAATAAACAAACACACACACACACTGCATAAAACTAATAATCCATTTTCGGCAAGCAAGCGTAAACACGTGCATAGAACTTAGGTAGTCATCAGAATGTACAAAAAAGCCACGTGGAACATGTAATCCCACGCAGAAAACAGAAATTGCCTGAGCTCCTTGCCAAATCTGTCTTCCTAGCATTATTGGCAAGCAAAGCAAGCTCACCTAGTCGACCGATCCGCACAAATTTCCTTAACCCTGTATAATCGACGTTGTCACGATGGACTGTGCTGGTATACAAAACATCATGTAAAACTCATGCTCTATGGGCTGGTAGCCAAAATGCATCCACACAATGATCTTAACACGTTGCAGGCTGGGCTGACTGCATTCACGCAATGAGCTGCTTCCATGCAATTCACGTTTGCGAAAGGTTGCTAGTTAGCTCTGCATCCAAAGTTGCATTTGACATTCGCTAAAGTTCTCAGTAAATGTGGCACACCTCTCTGAGGAGGCCAATAGGACATCAGTGTTGAGAGATCTCTCGTGAGCCTCGTCCATAATGATGGCAGAGTACTGGTCCAGATCAGGCTCTCTCAGACTCTCCCTCAGTAGAATCCCATCCGTCATGTACTTTATTATGGTCGACTGTAGGTTTACATGGAGAAAGAGAGAGAGGGCGTGTGCAAGTGTGTGTGTGTGCGTTTTTGAGTGATAATGGTCATTTGCCCATACATACTGTACATGAGAAACTGTCTTCTTTTTTTGCTCATTTGAGAAAATTTAGCCTCAGCAGAAAGCACCCACCGGTGCCTCATATAGGAATATCCTACAATCATTTCCCCCAAAACCCATGTATTGGCAAATTTTCCAGGCTGCTGACTCCACCTTTGAGGTGACGTCCTCGAACCGGATGGAGTATCCAACTTCTTCCCCCAGCTCTGTCTCCATCTCCTCCGAGACTCTCTTGGCCACCGACATGGCCGCCACGCGACGCGGCTGCGTGCATCCGATCATCCCTCGGTCGGTGAATCCATCCTCGTGTAGATACTGGCGGGACGGGGGGAAAGTGAGGGCAGTGGGCTTAGGGCCCAGCGAAAGTGGCGTATATACCTGAGTGAGTTGAGTAGTCTTCCCGGAGCCAGTCTCTCCAACTATGATGACCACGTTATTGTCCCTGATCACCGACAACAGCTGAAGGAGACGTATAGTTACAGAATCACCATATTAGATCACCATTTCGAGTCTAAGGACCTAGGTACTGGTTGGACAGCATTAGAAACTTGGGAAATTGTGATGACTGCATACCTACTCTGGTAGGCTACCTTTCCACACCACAAATACCAATACATACATAATATTGCAAACTAATCCTACTTTGCGAAATTTTGGTTGAAAATCAACTACCAATTGAATTTGGAAGCCACGTATCACTCCCACTTATTTATCATTTTGAGGAGAATCTTTTAGAGAAAATGTTGGCATTAAAAATTTTTAGCCCATACCTCAAGGTATAAGTTGAAAGTCGATACACAATGGTGCGGGTAGTACAGTCAGGCGTACCTGTGGTCGAATGGCATAGATGGGAAGAAACTGCCGCTGCTCTTTGAGTGTCTTGGTCTTTGCAAACGTGCTGGCGGCCTGACTCCCTCCCTTCTTCATGTGGCTGGCAAACTGCTGGCTAGACTTGTAGTCCTCTCCTCCCTCTCCCTCTCCTCCCCTCCCTTCTCCCCCTGCAGGTTATAGCACACCACGGCTGAGGTGGACACATGCTCTATCAACTTCATTTTAAATCTCAGTTTGTTTAATACTTTGACTACAGTTGGAGTATGGAATGGTAACATCTGCTATCTCGCTGCTCCTATTCCTATCTCGCCCAAATTTCGCGGTCCCCCTATATAAAGGTGTCAACGGTTTCGCTTTTTTTGTAGGCACAAGAGTGGAAAAAGAGACAAACCAACTATCCTTAATACTTTGACTACAGTTGGAGTATGGAATGGTAACATCTGCTATCTCGTTGCTCCTAATCCTATCTCGCCCAAATTTCGCGGTTCCCCTATATAAAGGTGTCAACGATTTCGCTTTTTTTGTAGGCACAAGAGTGGAAAAAGAGACAAACCAACTATCCTTAATACTTTGACTACAGTTGGAGTATGGAATGGTAACATCTTCTATCTCGCTGCTCCTATTCCTATCTCGCCCAAATTTCGCGGTCCCCCCTATTAGAAAGTGATAAGTGTCTACCACCAGCAATCACAACTTTGTAAGTATATATAGGCAAAGGGCAAAAATGCAGCTCAGCAAGTATAGTATAGTATAGACTACTTGTTTTTGCAATACACTAACTTTTGCCTGGTCGACCACTGCACATTATGAAATCAAGATACGTGCAAAGAAACGACGCTTACGTAGAAAAACAAGCCACTGCCCTGCTGGGTCCCACAACACTCTGACAGACCACTTTCTTACTGAGCTACGAGTGCTGCCTGTACGTACGTACCTCCCCCGGCTCCTCCTTGGCCTTGATGCCCAGGATGTTTCCCATCTTGGTCCCTGCCAGCTCCCAGTGCTTGGCCTGTGCCTTCTTCCTCTCCTTCTCCTCTCTGTAGCGACGGACCAACAGACTCCCCTTCTTGGAGAACACTGCCATGTCAGATGTGGGGTCCTGTGAGTTATACAGCACAGCACACAATCACTCAGTCAGTTGGTCCATCGTTCAATATTGTCCAGAGTGAGACTTTATGTCTCTTCCACTTACTTTAGGAAACAGGGTTTTATGTCAATATTGGTAGAGTGGTGACTAAAACCCACCCTGATAGGAACCACTGGCTCATACTAATGATAGGGCATACAAAACACCCCCTGATAGGAACACTGGCTGATACTAATGATAGGGCATACTATAGACACCCACCCTGATAGGAACCACGGCTGATACTAATGATAGGGGCATACTAATAGACACCCACCCTGATAGGAACCACTGGTCATACTAATGATAGGGGCCCACCCTGATAGGAACACTGGTGACTATGATAGGGGCATACTAATAGACACCCACTCTGATAGGAACCACTGGTTCTACTAATGATAGGCATACTAATAGACACCCACCTGATAGGAACCACTGTCGTACTAATGATAGGGGCATACTGATGACACCCACCCTGATGGAACCACTGGTTCGTACTAATGATAGGGGCATTATCTATATGAGACATCCACTCTGATAGATAACGACTTACGTCATATAATGATAGGGCATATTATAGACACCCACTCTGATAGGAACACTGGCTCGTACTAATGTTAGGGGCATACTGAAATAGACACCCACTCTGATAGGAACCACTGGCTCGTACTAATGATAGGGGCATACTATAGACACCTCCCCTGATAGGAACCACTGGCTACTAATGATGGGGCATACGATAGACACCCACCTGGATAGGAACCACGGTGTACTATGATAGGGGCATACTAATAGACACCACATCTGATAGGAACCACTGGCTCGTACTAATGATAGGGGCATACTATAGACACCACTCTGATAGGAACCACTTCTCGTACTAATGATAGGCATCACTAATAGACACCCACCTGATAGGACCCACTGGCTCGTACTAATGATAGGGGCATACTAATAGACACCCACTCTGATAGGAACCACTGTCTCGTACTAATGATAGGGGCATACTGATAGACACCCACCCTGATAGGAACCACTGTCTCGTACTAATGATAGGGGCATACTAATAGACACCCACCCTGATAGGAACCACTGTCTCGTACTAATGATAGGGGCATACTAATAGACACCCACTCTGATAGGAACCACTGGCTAATACTAATGATAGGGGCATACTAATAGACACCCCACTCTGATAGGAACCACTGGCTCGTACTAATGATAGGGGCATACTGATAGACACCCACCCTGATAGGAACCACTGTCTCGTACTAATGATAGGGGCATACTAATAGACACCCACCCTGATAGGAACCACTGGCTCGTACTAATGATAGGGGCATACTAATAGACACCCACTCTGATAGGAACCACTGGCTCGTACTAATGATAGGGGCATACTGATAGACACCCACCCTGATAGGAACCACTGGCTCGTACTAATGATAGGGGCATACTAATAGACACCCACCCTGATAGGAACCACTGGCTCGTACTAATGATAGGGGCATACTGATAGACACCCACCCTGATAGGAACCACTGGCTCGTACTAATGATAGGGGCATACTAATAGACACCCACCCTGATAGGAACCACTGGCTCGTATTGCTTAGTGAAGACAATTCTCCCATCCAGGAACGGAGGGACGATGTTGTGGACCAGCAGGTGAACTTTGCCCTCTTGTTCCTCGGCGAAGTCCTCGTCCACATCGAGTCTACGGACGACTCCGCTGGTCAGCAATCTGTTCTCCTCCCACATCGCATTGTCCTGCGCCACCACCAGGAAATAACAAACACTCACACTTAACCGGCAAAAAGCTTTCAAATATGGTAGCTAGACCCTCTCTCAATCCCAACGCTCCATGTATAGAAAAAAGTATGCAACTAGGACTACAAACAAATTCTAAACATAGGCAAATTTAATGCTCTCTTGTTTATTAATGGTGGGAAACTCTTGCTTTTTGCATTGAGGTGAGAATATTTGCAAGTAAGACTTGTTTGTTCAAATGGTCCCAAAAAATAATTTGCAAACAGCCCTTAAGCTCAATATGCGAACAATGATCTACGTGGAGTATTAAAGATAAGGCCACCTGTTCCGACTACTAATGCGGAAGAGATCCAAACAGACCTTGTTGATTTGTCTCTGCTGAGCCGACATTCTCTTGACGGTGTTCTTGGCCAGTTGCTCCTCCTTCTTCTTGGTGTACTCCTCGGGAATGGCCGCCAGGTCGTTATGACTGATGTCGTAACCACCTTCGTAGTCGTACCATGCTCGATCCAGACGCTTGGAAAGAGAGACAAATGAAGGGAGAACATTTATAGGAGCATAGCATCTCAATATACTGTAGCCTAGACAGGAAAGTCTTATTACTGTTTGTGATCTGTACAAGGTTTTTCCCTTTGCAAAACATAGGTAGAAGGGAAGGGTGAAGGAAAAAGAGAGAAAGAGAGGCAGTAGAGAGTTTTGACAGAAAGACCAAGAATTTTCGTGACGCTCACCTTCTGTTCTTCCTCCCACTCCTCACGCTCTGCCTCATTCTTAAACTGCATTGGTTCCTTCTCTCCTCCTCTCTCTCTCCCCCCTCCTCCTCCTCCTCCTCCTCCCTCTTCCTCCTTGGCTCTGGCCAGGGGAGTCAGGCCCATGCTCTTACGACCACTCACCCACTCGTTGTACTTGTGAGTCGGAGTTGGGAGAGGAGTACTGTGAGAAAAACAACACTCACACAATATCCTTGAAGGAAAATACGAGTGACTTTTAGAAGAGAAAGACATTGACTGATGTACTGTGAAATAAATATTCTGCAGGCTCAAAAATCGAAACTCTTTAACATTAGTCAAGGCTAACAGTGATCTCATCTTGTCCTATTATAACTGCATGATAGAGCAGAGAAAGAGCCATACTCATTCATCTGTAAGATACACCCCAAACCACACCCCTCACAAGTTGACACTAACTTTCTTGTTCCAATTCCACTGTCTCTACTCGGGGCAGGAGACGGGATGTCCCATTTGCTCGAACCTTGTCCCGTTGCCTGATTGTCCGGGTCCCATGAGCTCCGTGATGGAGTTAAGATATCTATTAGCACATCAGCCAAAAAACACAATATTGCATGGTGTTCATCACCCCAACACAAAAAAATATCGTCACCCTATAGTACGGCACTTAATAAACAGGTTTTTGTTGTACAAAAATGATAGCAAACTGGGTTCTTAACACAGACATCATCGTTTTATGTGTTCCTGTATTTGTGATATATTGGGGGTGCAAATGCTATATAGCAAGGAATAATTATAGCTTTCTTCCCCAGAGTACCTCAGAATTCCCCTCACCAGTCCTCCTGCTGTAAGGAGTGTCACCAGATCCTCTGCCACGCCTCTCCTGAGGAGTCTCCTCCTCCCAGGCTCTGGCTCTCTCGGACCGTGACCCCTGACCTCCCTCCCTGCCGCGTCCCTCCCTCTCTCTTCCTCCTCTTCCTCGGTCTTCCCTCTCCCTTCGCTCCCTTCTCCTCTCTTCTCTGCACAGAGACAACAACACACATAACATGCACATACTTGAACGTTAGAATCTCCACAGATATCTTCTCTCCTTTCGCCCATATTCCTTCAAATCGCCTTTCCAACCGCTTGCATAACCTTTCTCTCTTGCTCTATTCCTCCTTGTTCGTCCTCCTCCCTACGTATATACCTCCTCTCTCTATAATAATATGCAGACTTGTCCAATTTTTCTGTGTCTATGTAGTACTTATCTTCCTCTCTATAATTATTACACATACTTGTGCCCCCTGTCAGAGTCTCTGGACTTTGCCCCAACGGCAAACGGTCTGTCTCTCCTCATCCTCTGCTGGATTCTGTCCAGAGCCTCCTCACTAACGCCGCCAGTGTGGGACGGAGTCTCCACGCGAGTCCCTCGGTACACCCGCTCTCGCTGCTTCTCCGACGACTTCCCGAAGCTGACTCGAGCTCCATCCTCCGAGAAATGACTCTCAGACTGCAAGCTGGAAGTGATGCCGACACCTCGAGTCATTTTCACGCGTTTCTCCCCGAATTTTGCTGCAGCTTCTCTCTCCTCTCTTTTTCTCTTGGCGAGAACGTCCAGCCCGAAAAGAGAGGTCCTCGGAGCAGGGACCTTGAATTCGGAGGGTTTCTTGTCCCACTTAGAGCTCTTTTCTCCAGCCTCATCCCCTCCTCCTCCTCCTCCTCCGGCTTCTTGGCTTGAAGGCTTCTTCTTGATAAGGCCACCGACCTCGTTTCCAGAAGAACCGGCAATCCTATGCACGGAACCGCCAAATTCGGACATCTCCCACAAATAACTGGTCGAAATGTACCACGATGGCTAAAACTGACAGCTGGCCTCCTAGCTACGTTTTGAGGAGAAATGCTCTATTTGATGCGCACCTACGGTTTGTATGACGTCACCGTGCATTCGAAATATTGCGGTCCACGCCCTTTTATCCTGCGGCATTTGTTGCAAGCGAGCACATCAACTTCAAATTTTGTTGGAAGCCTTCCTCTTTTGCTGCTGTTCGGTGTAAAAAGACAAGTGATGTCCAACGATCAGTATTATCAGGTTAGCTGATGTGCGGCGACCAAAACGTAGTCGAAGCCGAGCGCGCTTCGAGCGAGAGTTACAAGCCGCCCAAGTTTTGAATTCGGCTGACTCATCACCAGAGAACGAGCGAGCAACGCCCACACTAACGTTTGTTAGGCCAGGGTCCGGGGGGCCGGGGGAGAGTGTTTGTTTGTACGTGCGTGCGTATATCTATATAATACTTGCAAGGACAAGATCCCCTAAGCGTATTTGCACCGTATATACACGTACACAGGTCGAGAAGATAGTGGGGTTCAGGAACATTCGCGGTGTCCCGCACTACAAGGTCCACTGGCAGAGTTACAGCCGTGACCAGGACTCCTGGGAGCCTGCTAAAAACCTAGCAGCGTGCAGCGTTCTGTTGGATGAGTACCACGCGCGAAAAGCAGCTGCCTCTCCTCCGAAGGTTAGGGGCGGGGGCTGGGCAGCAGGTCTCGAGGTGCTAATTGGGCATCTGTGTGCCGTAGTACATATCTATATATCAACTTCCCAAGATACATGTTATGGGTGTTATTGTTGTCTCTCCACCAACGAAATACAGTATGTACACCTGCTGATAGTAGTTTTGCATGTATTTTCAGACCAGGCGTACCACCCGTCATTTGGCTGCCACTGGGAAGTCCTCGGCCGAGCCGTTGCCAGAAGATGAGGAGCTGCCCGTGCTCCGTCGCAGCCAGCGAGCACGGACCCCAACTCACCACTTTGCGAGTAAAATGGCCGCCACGACTCCCCGGAAACAGCAGACGGCAGCACCACCCACCAAACCCAAGAGCCCCAGGAAGAGACAGCTCCGTCTAGAAAGAAGAAGACACGGACGAAGAGGAATTTGACGTTCAGAGAAGCGAGTATGAACTGCGTTCACATTTTGCTCGGCGGAGGAGCCCGAGGAGAATTGAGGAGCGCCATTACTTCCACAGCGAGATTCCCCAGCCGCGCAAGACCCAGGGTAGCAACGGGAGTGCCAGTGCTGACAACACTACTCTCAGCCAGTTTGGGGGAACTACTGAGGGAGGAGCAGCTGCAGCAGTTCTATCCAGCGACGAAGAAGAAGAGAGAGGAAGAGGAGGACAGGGGTCGTCGGTGACACCGCAAATCTCTGTCTACGAGTCGCGGGTGAGGAAGAGACTGAGCACCCTGTCTAGTCTCACCAGGAAGAAGGTGGCAGAGGCTCTTACCGGTCTTGCTGGCAGGAAAGACGATGAACCAGCCACTTCTCAGAGCAAGTCGGCGTTCCCTCCTCCTGAGGCATCTCAGCCGGCTGAACCCCCGGCCCACCTCTCCTCCTCCCACCATGTGTACGAGACTCGCTCACGTTCAACCGATCCACACCCCACAGAGCCTTCTACCTCGTCCTTTTCTCCAGTCGTCACTCGTAGGAAACTCCACTCCACCACTGTAACCACTGCTGCAGTTCCCTCGGGTCCCAAAGTAAGGGACCAACCGCCATCATCAGAGGACTCGTCTACAGACTCTCCTCCTGATCTGACAGCATTTGACACGCAGCCACGGGCTCAAAAGACCCCTCCAGTCCTTACCACGACCGAGAAGGTTCCACAGTGGATGAAGTTTGGTTGGGAAGAGATGTTTTTCATCTTCGTTGTCGTCTCCCTCATCCTCTTTGCCTACTACTGCTTTTACTCTGATGACTGTTGACTTGGCCACCTTTCCATAGACATGTACACCTCCATAAGGACCACCAGGCCTTCTTACATCCAATACTTACACACATAGGGTTTATTTTATTCCACCGTTATGTACACTTTTGTACTTACACGAGTATCACTACACTATAGGTGTAATTTTTTATGAACCTGCTGCTGTTGATTCATCAATCGACAGATTATTTTCTTTATGGATACCATACACATTTTTACCAACCAGTCTTTATTATGGTGTCTGGATATACACTAATAGAGTTTTTCATCTGATGAGCTTAAAACGTGCCCATTTTGCAGTGAGATTTTTGCACACTCTAGAACCGCCACATTATAAAGGTCATAACATACAGTAATACGCAATTATGTGAAATCACTACATTCCAATTGAAAGCCGAAGCTGTGTGGCCGACTGGACACACACACCTAAAGGAAGATTATCCATCTGCGTGCATTCCAGCTCTCCATCACAATCATGTCGCATCAATACTATACTTCCCAGGAAGCTCATTGGCAAAATGACTAACTGTGGACCCAAGTGTCTCCCACTCGTGTTGTCGTATGCTTTGCCTTAGCCTTGTTTACACTATGTGAATGGACGGAAGGACAGAGAGACCTCCTCCCAGCTTGTCTGGCTCCACCGCAGTAAACCAGCCAGTCTTTCAGGACCCAGAGCAAATCCTATTACCAACATCATCGTCCATGCCAACTCCCTATAGCTAGCGCGGTTTAGAGACCCATTGAGATTGGGAAATGCCTTCATTTGGGCCCTGTGGTAGCTGCTGTAGTGCTTAACAAGGGTAGCAACAAAAACCGCACACACACACACACATGATTTGTCCATTTCAACTAACTATGCAGTTTATAGGGAGGTAATTGATTGCCTCATAAGTGTTTGAAAGTCTGTGATGTGGCCAAGGGATCTATTATGTATTGGTGTGATGCAATCGTCCGCCTGTGTCATCTCAATCCAATGTCGCAATAGCATTCAAAGAAACTGTTGAATGCAAGTCGGTGTATGCAACAATGTTGATTTGTTTTTGCAAACATCACTGAATTTTCAGAGCGTCTGAGCGTTTTGTATCATCAAAGAGTTACGTGAGAACCGAATGCTTAGTTTGCTGTGTACACCAGGGCTCCTCCTGTATAAAGCACATGTTGACACACAAAGCCTTATGACTATATATGTCATATAATACTGAGCAAAAGTGTTCAGTTTGGACGTCACATGCCTGTTGGGCAGCTTCCAGCACCGCCTGACATGAAACACCTCGTATCCTTCAGAGGGTTATTATGAATCACCTATTTCCTCTTTCACTTCCTGTCTTAGCATGTGATACACGCATTATCCCTCGGCGCACAAGAGGCGATCCTCTACAGGGCACACGTATCTGCCTATGAAGCTATATCAAAAGCCCCATGCAGTCACGCTCACTACCTGCAGTGTGTGTACAGACTTCCCTTTATCTGTACCATGCTGATTTATCCAATATCCTGGCAATTACATATCCTGCTCTTTCTCAACATCCACAGTGCACATGGCTATACGCTCATAAAATACTCTATGACAAACTAACTGTCGTTTTGAACCCACGCTCCCCCAGGTAGACCTATTAAACCCACTGTACACCACGGAGTGCTCCGGTGTATAATTTTATGAGTGCACTCTTCTGCCAAGACTTCCGTACTAAAATTAATCAAAACGTTTCCCGCCCACTTGCCAGTTCCTTAACTCTATGAAAATGCCGCACTACATCCTGCACCTGCAATGAATCTGATTTACACAATACAGTACCGTTACGCTGCATCGTCACTGCATTCACAAGATTGGAGGATTAAGCATGTCAACACAATCAACACGTACGACACACGCAGTGTGAGCTGACACGTCACAAAATACCAAAATTAAAATCAGAGATGATTAATCTTTACAGTTTTGAAACATAAAGAGGTACAGTAGGGTATTAATTAACAGAAAGTGAAGTGATTGCAATAATAATATATATATACACGGACGCACAAGAAGAAGAACACCAGACATAGTATGGGATGAGACTCTGAAATTAAGGGTGAGATGGGCATTGAATCACTGCTATCCAATGTGCTAGCTCTGGACTCCTCAATCACAGCGTCACCATCCGCTCTCGAAGAAAAAGAAGGAGAGAGTGCGAGGGGAGAGAGTTATATATAAGAGCCGTTCCTATACGTCCGAGACACATTGAGGTGGCATAGTTTCCACGTATCTCGGTTCCTTTGAATCACAGTCGGCTGTGTACAGAGGACATGACACAGTCAGTTACAGCAGTAGCGCAGTGCATAGGTATACTGCATGCATGACTGGTCAGTATACAGAGGGGATAGGGGCTTTCGATGATGGAACTCTTACTAACTTCCTCTCCCTGCATTACTCCACATACTAAACGAGAGTGGACCAGGAAAAGGGCTTTGCACATTGTGTGCAAACAGTGGAAGCTCTGGACACCCTCATCCATCGTACTGTACGCTCCCATGTACTGTACTAAGAGCATTTGAGTGACCATGTTGCGGAACTAAGAACTAAAGATGCAATATTGACACACACTATTCTTTCATCTTTTATGGATGTTAAGTATGCAGGTTCTTTATTGCAGAAGTATAGGTAGACAGTATGCTCACCATATGTGTGTAGGTCTAGGTCTGTCGAGCGTCTGTAGGTGGCCTTAGTGTCGGGGGAATCGATGACTGGTGGACTGACTGGTCTCATCTCCTCAGTATTGAAGTGGTACTTGGTGCTCTGTGAAAGAAGCGAGAGAGAGACAGAGAGAGAGAGAGGGAGAGAGAGAGAAAGAGAAGAGAGGGAGAGAGAGAGAGAAAGAGAGAGAAAGAGAGAGAAACTTTTTCACACACAAGAAAACATGTGGACAGGTGCAGACTCCCTCTAAGGCCTGAATATACTATCGTGCATTGTGTTGACTAAGGAATTGTCGCATTTACCGGCGAATAAACTTCCACCAGTGGGCAGAGCACTTAAACCAAACTCACATGCCGCCTGAAAAGGTAAGAATTCCTCCCCAGCTCCACCCTCACTCCCTAACTACACAACCTACGTGTGCAATGGCCACCCAAGGAAGGTCAGAGATTCAGGGTAAGTATCAATACCCCAGCAATAACCTCTTCCCACACCTTTTTGTGCCGGTTCAATCCAAGTGCATACCATTGTGTGGACTGCAGTGCCTGTTGCACTGAGCTAGCAATCACTCTGCGATTAAGCACCCAGTCTGGCTGATAACTTTAACTCTTTGTGCCCATGCATACGTCCATGCTACATATATGTATATACCTATCCAAATGTGAAAAGACCTCTGTCGTGGGTGTAATGCTAGCAATAACTCTGTGGCATCCTCAGGTTCACATGGAGCGAGTCTAGCTAGCTAGCTGCATGGCGACTCACACTCTGACAAAAGCACTGACTGTGTGGTCCTACGTATAGTAATGCTAGCAGTCAAGCGTGGACCTATAGTCTGGCTAATGGTATGTACTGATGCAATTGCTATACCCATTCCTTGCCCATACAAGAGAGATTCATGCCCCACCCCCCACACGGCTCCATTTCAAAGTATACACACAACAAAACATTACAATATGTACGTATAGGCTGTTTACAATGAATAGCAGGAGAGGTTTCTTATTCATGAAATCAAAGGCTAATCATTGGTCTGAAGTGTTTAAAGGCTCAACAGTACAAATACATGGTACCATCTCGTGTTCAAATACGACTCTAAAAACCACGTGTTCTTAGTTTGGTGACCATCCCAAATGAGTGGTAGAGGGTGAACGTAATGATGTTACGGTGTCTAGCTACAAATAAGAGCGCCTTGTGTGGCCAGAGAACATTGCCAATCTCTGCAACAGATGCCGTCATACCTTATTTCACACCAATCGTTCCCTCTCTTGCGTTTTGTAAGTGAGAGAGTGTCAGGGTACACGGTGCCAGCAAAACAGGCAATCAATCTCCTGCTTTGAGGCTGAGAGCTCCACATGGGAATTAGCACGCTTCCCCCTTTGAAGGGGCCCTGGCTGCCAACCTGACAACCAGGAGCCTCGACTGAACCCGTGTGCGGTAAAACGGGGCCTCTCTGTTCACACAACATTAAACTCCCAGCCTCCAACAAAAGCTGAATGGCCCTCCAAAGACAACTGTAGATACGTTGCACCAAGCATGCATGACAGACAGGCCAACAACACGGAACTGTCTACGTGACTTGGATGCATATCAAACTTCCGCCTATTCTGTGTACTTATTAAGGCAGACGACGGATTTTTCATGTTTATTTTGTCTCTGAGCTTTACACGTGCAGTATTAGACATGGAGTGTACGATGCCCAGACCAACAAACTCTAGCCAATAATACCATGAATGGCTACATTATCTACTGGACCACCAAGTGCCAATTACTGTACGTGAAGGGTAAATAGCAACATCTGCCACTGAATGTTTGGATAAGTCCACATCCCTGTGTGGGCAGCATCATAAAACTATATACTGAGTGGGAGAGACTGTATTTACACATGCTGGCATTGTACACCCGCGTGCCAATGGAGCCCCTTTGATTATTACCTCACATACACACACCCAGCTTTGTTGGGCTTAGAGCAATTCCACCTGCTAGGCACTCCACCAGGACACCGTTTGAAGCAAGCAGAGCTATGTATAAAATATTCCATCAGGAATGATTATCGTTGACCTATGGAGCAATTCGGGTAATGAATGATTTCGCAACGAAAAACTGTATTGATTATGGAGCAATCGAGGCTCTAAGATATTCCACCAGAAAAACAGCATTGTTGAGTTCCGGGTAATGGGGGCTGTAATACTGGTTTCTTTGTTGATTATGAACCAATTGAGGAAAAAGCCTGAAACCATAGAACTGAGCCGGTATAGCCCTGAAATGGGGCAGTATCTGAACCACCACCAGACTGCTGTAGTGGGTTTCCTAATGTACAGGATTCACCCCTGAAAAATCCCCCACACCACCACTTCAATTTCACTACTATATACCTACACTCAGCAGACATTGTATGGAGCAGACATTGGACATACATAGGTACAGGTATGTATATAGCTCTATAGGAGGATGAAAACCACTGACCCTATGTTTAGATGGGTATATACAAAGTGTGTGAGTTTACCTTTTTGCAGAGACAGCAGAAGAGAAAGACAATGAGAACCACAGCTGCTATTAGTAGCACCGTTTCTGCCGCAAGGGCTGCTGCGTACCATCTTCCTGTACCTTCTGGGATGACTGCATGGGTGGGTGTGTGTGTGTGTTTAATGGGAGGGTGTGGGAAATACAGAGTGAATCCGAATACTACTGCAACTCTCAGAGACACACCAGCACATTTTTAGATCACATAATAAGTACACGTGTAAACTCTAACCGGGTCATATACAACATGTACGTACGTATGTACACTAAAAAAACTGGTATATAGGAATTCTGTTTCTCATCATTAAATGTGTATACAGCACCCTGTCCCCCACGCACGAGTGTGGAAACTTGAGCCATGCATAATAGGCACCAAACGGTACGACACTTGGGAAAGGAATGCCAGCTGCATGTCTGCGTAGTAAAGCACATCCAATATTACCGTGATGCACCTGTGCAGGTGTGGAAACACGTAGGTGTCAGCTAAGACAGCAGACTCCTTCAAAGTGGTAGTGAGCCGTCGATACTCGTAAATGACCCGTGATATACCCAATATAGCTGGCCCTACACTCACACACGAGCACATGTTCTCATAATAATGAGCTATTTAACCCTCCCAGAAGGGCTAGCCTTGTGACATTACGAGTAATAGTCTTTGAAGCAACTGGGATGCCAAGTGGAAGGACACACGTGGAGTGACTAGTGGCTTTTCAGCACCGGTACTCATGTGCATTTACTTGCTAAGACAGGTTAGGTTATTATAATATGGCAAAATGCCAGGATTCAATAGTCCCAGTCTCATAATTATTGCATATGGGGAACTGCGGGGTGTCGCTGGTGTGGAAGGTGTGAGTTAGGGTGTCCGAGAGGTGAGACAGACACCATAGTTTACATGCACATTCATGTACAGTACTGGTCCCACCCACCGCTCTACGTACATGTGTGTTGTCTATGGCTCTAGCACAGTTTGAAAAGTGACTTCAGCAGAAACTGATGCTGATTATTTTGCGACAGAGTGGTGGGAGTAAGTACGTACAGGTCGGTGGTATCATGAATAGGATACCGCAACACTATAATCACACCAGTAGAAAAGAGGGTGGTGGAGGATTCAGGGGGAATTGCATGACAAAGTGAAATTAAGGGGGGAACATTTTCACGAGAAAAGGAAACAGAAAACTGGAGTAATCAGGGCACCAAGTGAAAGGAGATTGTGGGGTAATTACTACAATCAGTGGGCTATTGCAACTGAAATATCACACACATTGTGCAAAGGAAGAGTATACTGTAAACCACAGTTGCATCAACCAGTGAAAATTGCACACCCGATTTATGCAATGTTTGTGATAATAATATTCACTGTAGCTGTACCTGTGTTTGTTTTACTCTGTTGGTCTGTGCCAACACTGGGTTCTTCAGCTGGGGGGGTGGGGACTGGACTGGGTGTGTGTGGTGATGGTGTGCTGTGTGATGACGGTGAGGGAGGGAGGGAGGAGGGGGAGGGGCTACAGGATGGTGTTGGCGTTGGGTCTTCCGCCACTGAAAAAGGAGAGAGAGAGAGTGGTGTGTAAGAAGAGAGGGGGGCAACGTAATTAATTTCAGTTACACAATTCCACAAATATCCCTTTACTCTATCCCCGCTGGTGTACGTGTCAAGTCGGCAAAGGTGTCTGGAAGCTTTCCCGTGTTTGCCAAGTAGTCTCAAAAACACTTCTTTTGAGGTCTGAACAGCGAAAGCAAATTAACCCGGCGTCTTAGATCTCCATATGTGCGTCGTTGTCCAATGTTAAATATACTCAACTATGTACCACATATTGTCCATACTGTGCAAGTTTATAGAGCGCTGTTATAATAATCCACAGATGCAATAACGTGTACACGGTTTACATGCATACAAGTCTTACACTGTTACGTGTATGCAACAGGCCACGTACATGACGAGACAGGAAAACTGGCAAAATGGCCCTGCAGCAGATAAAGTGGACCATTAGCACCACAGACTTTGAGGCTACATTCCGGCTACATCTGCAGCCTGCCAGGGACTTAACCTGTGGGGGTATAGCCAGGTCTCTCATCTTCTAAGTATATACCTTCCACTTCCTGCAAGCTCAACAAGTCTACTGGATAGGGGTTTCTTCGATTCTCTTGGTTCACAACCCATTGTTGACATAGGCAACGAAACTGACAGAGCATTTCGTAGTAAGACACCAACCGCCTCTCAAACTGAAGCACTCAAGGTAACCTTCTAATGGTGCAAAGTTAATACATAAAATAGCAAATCCCCGGGGTGGAGGGAATGCGTCATACAACTGGGCAGAGGTGTCAGGTGAGCAAAAACATCCGTATTTCCTCATTCTATAGAGGCCCTATTTCGGTATAGTTTGCAGCTTTCGTCTCGCCTTTGCATGGCTGTGATGGTGTTAGACGTCCTCGTGATATCATTTCAGGGGAAAAAGCAACAGTTGTAGCTGTGATAGGCTCTTTTATCTAGCCGTGCCCTTCTTGTTCCTCTCTCACGTATTATGCATGCATCCCAACATGTAATGCATGCATGTCTACAGCAACTTGGTGTGTGTGTCACATGTGCGTGGACTTAGCCGCTAAAGAAACACCCGTTGCGATTATCTCTCAAAATGGCTGACTCACTAGCGACAAACAACCGTCAACAACATCTGCTTACCCACACAACGACGCAGCAACTACTAGTACCGACTAGTAACCCTGAGTCTTTGTTTTCTGTGCTGCTATCGCATACGTGTTGTAGCTCTTACGTGACTAGCGTTTTTAGCTGGAGGCGTAAAATTGAATTAGGTCGTGAAATATTCACAGAATATTCGTCAGGGGACCCACCTGCACAACACGGGCCCATGAATATCCATCAATATTTTGTTTTTTCACTCAATTTTTTTACTCGCAATCAAAGTAATGATTCGGTGTTGCTAAGGCACAGTAGCTAACCGCCCTTACTATACCAAACACAGAGCATTCATTGACCATCGCATTAATTACCACAGATAGACCAGTAGCGTACATAGGAAGATGTTCGGACAAAGGGGGGATCCACGGGCATGCGTAAAAAAACACAGGCGCTGCCACACCCACTGATTTTCTACGCGCTAGCCCGAGAAAATATAGGGGGGCGCCAGCCCCCAGAGCCCCCGTGGTTCCTACGCCACTGTGTACTACAGAATAATGTATGTATAGTTATACATGTATATAGCCCAGTGTTTTTTTTCTGGTACAAACATGTGTATATAATTATACCCCCACCTCAAGTACATATGTCAGTTGGACGTACAACTGATGTACAGGCAAGTTTTGCCGAGTAACAGTGTGTATGTCCATAGGGTACATTTATACACATGCAGCACTTTGCGTGGACACTGTCTCTCTCAACGTACCTGAGTCTTTCACAACGATTGTGACCGATTCACTGCTGTCTATTCTCCTCATATCAGAATTGATGTCTCTTGAACGAGCACGGCAGAATATTCTTGAGTTGTTGACGTCCGGGACTGCTCTAACTACTAGTATTAGCTCGTTGCATTTGTCCTGCGAAGATGACGGTGGAACAAAGCAGTTTTCATATCCTTCCACTCTAACAGTTCTGCCAATTTGCAGCTGATGTGTTCCGTCTAGTGCATCTCCGTTCAGGTGAAAGACGATTGATTTGCTGGTGGCATTATGAGTTACCCTACATATGACTGTCTCTACTTGGTTGGGGGTGATGTATCTGGAACCGTTCACGTTGAGCGACACCGAATCTGGAGGGAGGGAGGGGAGGTAGCGAAAAAAGGGGGGGAGGTATGATAGTCAGTCCACATCAAAGCCTGCTCTAAGAGCCGAGCTGTTAGCAGCTTGAACGCAGCCATTTACTTACGGCAGCAAAGGCGAGTATAGAACGCAGCATAAAGAAGGCCCACTGACAACTGGTGCCGGCCTGCTGCATGCACAGAGTTATTGGTTGGCTAGGAAACTCACGGATAGTCGTCATGGCCCGACAGGCAACTGATGCAGTCCATAGTACTACCAACGACTCTATCCACCATATTCTCGGTCTTCTTCTCGTGGACATCTTCATAAAGAGAGGGGCTCGCTCCAGTCGAAAGTCAAACTGGCTTGCACACAGCTACTACACACACACTCCACTACGCTGCAATTCACTGCTGCTTGATTGACTTCCTCGTTAGAATTCCGCGCCCATGCAAATTTGACGCGCGGACAGCGCGCTATAAATACGTCCGCGATTGCAGGGGATGTTACGTAAAACGTTGGGGATATCCTTCATGCACTGGGACTTTTCCCAAAGCTTTCAGAATGGAGTAGGAGAAAATATCACTGACAGTGTTGAAGAATGTGCATGAAACTCTTTAGGGAACATTGCAGACTTTTGTTGTTGAATGAGCAATGTAAACTGTATATAGCTAGGGCTAATTTCAGTCGGAATTTTCTGGATGTGGAAACAGAGGGATTGCATAGCTATCACACCTCAGTAACAGCCGGCAAAGTTCTAGTGCTCACATTGCTGCATCTCTGGCTCAACTGTGTGGGACGTACCCCCAATCTTATTGCAGAGGTCATGACATAATCTCCCAGAGAGCACACACGTACAGCTGAGCACTCTCAGCTTGCGCATGAATGGAGAGGTCTCCAGAGACTGATGCAGACCATTGTGTAATGCATAAAATGAACTGACTTACACACACATTAGAGCTTAATTTGGCAAACAAAGACGCATATTTCAGGCACCGACTGTACAAACCATAGTACGTAGGAGTGGTCAAGGTGTACATCCATTATACATAATGTAGCAAAGTTGTCGATATACATTAGTTGTCATTAGGTTCGCGTTATCACATTACATGGATACATGTATAGTCAACATACACGTCTATCATTCGTTGCCTTTGTTTGACCAACAATCAAACATAAATCAGAAGCCCAGTATATACAATAAGGCCTCCGGCGAGAAGCCCTGTTTAGTGCAAGAGCTATACCACAATACAGTAGGAGCCAATGCTAAGCCTACTCCTTGGGATTGTCTCCATGCCTCATTAGGCTGAGGTGATGCACAGCTGACAACCAATTGACACAAAAGACGGTCTCATGCAACAATGATGGCACAACCTGGCACAATATGATTCTCATCATCAATCTTACTGTATATACACACCCTCAATACCAATACACAGAGATCGTGTTAACTAACAGTAGCGGATACATTGTAAAGTGAAAGACGGAAGTATGCAATCATTTACATTCTTGCAAAGTACCTGGCATTGTGCCAAATACAAACAAAGCATTCTCTTTCCCCGGAACTGTTCAGTTGCAAAACATCCTGCAAATTATAATTATTTGACAACAATAATTGTTGAAAGTTAGGGCCCTAACAGCAATAGTCATTTCTCAACATCCATGGCATGTAAACAACCGCTAATGTCTAGCTTCTCCCTATAAAATTCAAGAGCTGTCTAGTGAGGTAGCCATGTATGGGGATACTATTCAAAGCTCCCCTCTGTACATTTCCTTGTCATGGGTTCCCACCCCATTGCCCAACGAAAGCATGCTTTGTCCACTGAAGCCTGCAGAGTGCATTGTAAATCTCAAGAGGTCAAGGAGGAAACCCCTCACTTCCTCCTGCAGTGATCAAATTTCCCTCTCCTCACACACTAACCTCAACCACCCTCCGAAACCTACCAGCTATTCAGCTTTCAGTACCAGCCATTCAGCTTTCAGCCACATGAGAATAAGCTGGATCAGTGTGTGTATGTTTGTGTGTGCTGGTTGAAGGCCAACAATTTCCTCTCTGAAACAGGTGTAATTGAAAGGCAGAGAGAGTGAAAGTGGTAGTAGCTGTGTGTTGCTAAACTGAAACACTAGGATCCCCCACACTCTCCCTGTGTGACTAAATACCACATCACAAGGATAGACTGGTCCTCAGCAGTCAGCACTCTTATGTTCAATATTGTGTGAAAATAGGCTTTTCCTCAGACACAAAGGAAGTGAGATAATTATTTGCCTCTCCAGTGTAAACCCTCAAGTACTCTGTGTACGCAATATTGTATGAAAACTGAGTTTTCCTCAAAACATTGTGATGAGTCACTAAGGCAAACAAATGGTCCCAGTATAAACCATGAGCACTCTGTGTGCATTATTGTGTGACAATAGGGTTTCCTCATCCTCAATAGCTAATCCACAATGGTAGGTTGGCTTGGTTAAATTTCAACTGGTACCTACAAAAATGTTGACACCCTCATTAGAGTTTTAAAGGGACTGCGAAATAGAGGCGAAAGATGGATTGGTGAAGCTAGATAGGAATAGGTGCAGGAAGATAGAGTACATTACTATTCCATACTCTAATGATAGTGAAAATATTAAGTGTGGTTGGTTTGTCTCTTCTTCTACTGATGTACCTACAACAAATGCAAAATCATTGACACCCTTATTAGAGGGTGGGGGTGAACTGGCAAAGGGAGAGCGAAACAGAGGTGAAAGAAGGATTGGTGAAGCTAGATAGGGATAGTTGCTGAATGACCGCGAGTACATTACTATTCCATACTCCAACAGTAGTCAAAATATTATGGATGGCTGGCTTGTCTCTTCTTCCACCGATGTACCCACAAAAATGTTTACACACTTAGGTGGGAGACGGCGATATACGATATACGTAGAGGTGAAGATGGATTGGTGAAGCTAGATAGGAATAGGTGCAGGAAGATAGAGTACATTACTATTCCATACTCTAATGATAGTGAAAATATTAAGTGTGGTTGGTTTGTCTCTTCTTCTACTGATGTACCTACAACAAATGCAAAATCATTGACACCCTTATTAGAGGGTGGGGGTGAACTGGCAAAGGGAGAGCGAAACAGAGGTGAAAGAAGGATTGGTGAAGCTAGATAGGGATAGTTGCTGAATGACCGACGAGTACATTACTATTCCATACTCCAACAGTAGTCAAAATATTATGGATGGCTGGCTTGTCTCTTCTTCCACCGATGTACCCACAAAAATGTTTACACACTTAGGTGGGAGACGGCGATATACGATATACGTAGAGGTGAAGATGGATTGGTGAAGCTAGATAGGAATAGGTGCAGGAAGATAGAGTGGATTAATATTCCACACTCCAAAAATAGTAAATGTATTACAGATGGGTGGCATGTCTGTTCTTTCACTGATGGTCCTACAAAAATTGCAAAATCGTTGACACCCTTATTAGAGGGTGAGGGTGGGGGACCAGCAAATAGTGGTGAAAGATGGATTGGTGTGAAGCTAGATAGGATAGGTGCAGGAAGATAGAGTACATTATTCCACACTCCAACAATAGTAAATGTAATACAGATGGTTGGCATGTCTGTTCTTTCACTGACGGTTCTACAAAAATTGCAAAATCGTTGACACCCTTATTAGAGGGTGAGGGTGGGGGACCAGCAAATAGTGGTGAAAGATGGATCGGTGAAGCTAGATAGGAATAGGTGCAGGAAGTTAGAGTGCATTACTATTCCATACTCCAATGATAGTCAAAATGTAAAGCATGGTTGTCTTGTCTCCGCTTCCACTGATGTACCTACCACAAATGCAAAATCGTTGACACCTTTATTGGAGAGTGAGCGTGGAGGAACAGCGAAATAGAGAGGGATTAGTGAAGCTAGATCGGTATAGTTGCAGTCATACGGACTACTGTTCCATACTCAAACAATTATTAATGAGCTCGCTGTAACTACAACAGTAGAGACTTTTCCACGGTCGGCAGACAATAGAGCTATCCTCAGAGACTGAACGTTGCACTTCATTCACAGAGGAAGAATTTGGTAAGTGGTGGTAATATACCTCACCAGTGTACACACACCAATCACCTGTCCCTACCAGAAGTGTCCAAACAATCCTGTGACCACAGCTCTACATGGAGATTTCAAACAGATCGCAGGTCAACACACCTCCTCTTTGAAGTGCGTCTTCCCCACTCGTCTTTGATGTTCAGCTAACATTCCATTGCAGCCAGAGCTATTGTACATGGCAACGTCCATGGAGACCCGCCCACTTTTAATTCTTTCTCTGTCTGTGTGTGTGTGTGTGTCGTGTTTTGATCCAGACACCCTCCTGTCTTCCATTAAGAGCCCGAGAGAAAGGCTCTGCCAGCATAGGAGTGCCAGATTCCGGCACTACTTTTGGTGTAAATCACAGATATCGAGAGTGTATTAAACTCCATATTGGCTACACTTCAGGAATGTCGGGGAGCGCTAACTGGATTGTCCTTTGTACTCAGCCACAACAGCCCACTCAAATAGCAGCTGCAGGGGAGTGACCTCGTCCAACTGGCAAACAAACGCACGTGGCCATCACCCGCCACAATCATTGTAAATAGTCTGGTATAAAAAAGAGAAATGGAGCCAGCATCTGCATGTAAGGAGTGGTTAGTGTGTGAAGTGTTGGCTGAGGAATGCCACAGCGGATGGTGGGCAACTGGTTACTAGCTCTAAGAGGTTGTGTGTGGCAGCCAGAGTCCTACACAAGCCAGAAACACTGTCCAATCACCACAACCAGCCCTAGGACACACACAACCCACATGTATCGTATGTCTTTGCTGGGGGGTCACCAGACTCACAAACAACTGCTTGTAGTGGTCTGCAGGTTTCTCTAACGTTAGTTTGCTGATCTATTGTCCGCAGTATTTAGATGTGGCCTTGGATCAAATTAATAGCATGTGTCAAGGTAGTGAGGTGGAAAGGCAAGAAAAGTTAGCTGGGAGATGGGAGAGTTTGGTCCGTGTGGTCCGTGTACAGAGATCCACTTCGACCGAATTGGGGACCGCGAGGTGCCAGAACTGGTCAACATGGATGACCCTGACCTTCTCGAGATTTGGAATCTTGTTTTACTCAGTTCAATAAGTAAGCCCCTACACCCTATAATAGTAATGGGAAAATAATTGTTGCATGCCTGATGTTCAAAAATAAGCATGTGCATGGAAAAATTCAGATTCCTGAATTTGGACGCAGAGTGCGTGCAAGGTGATGTTGCCCAAACTGAGAAATCTCCTTTGCGTCGCGCTACAAAGTGTCCTCGTTTCTGACCCAGTTCTTCAGTCTGGGAATTTCGCATGCGCCTGTCCCCGGCCAGCTCGCGAGTGTCTGCGTCCAAAGTGGAAGTATTGTTAAGTAATTGGAAGAAGGGTAGCTGAATGGTGCATGTGAAAACTAAGAGGTAGAAAGGCAAAGGCACAACAAACAAATCAACTACACCCAGGACAGCTCTCTTTTTTCCAAGGAAAAAAGAAGAGCTGCCCTGGGTGGGATTCGAACCCACACACTGCAGTCTAGGCGAGCACTATACCAACGGAGCTACCAGGGCAACTCAGCTGGTAGGGGTTCAAATCTATGCACACTTGGTTAGTTAACACTGGGCTTAAAATATTCCACATCTTCTTTTGCGACACTGTAGGAAATCACTGGCTTGATTGCAGCTTTCACATGTACAATATAATACTACAACTGTACTCGGTGCAGTGAATGTATGATTCATATGCGTATCTACATTCATGCACGTGTGCATGTCTCGTTTTTCCTTATACAAAATTTGATGTCACGGTGACAGTGATGCAGTGGAGAAAATGCAATTTGGCAGTATTTTGGACACCCTGCTGGTGAAGCTGAGATCACGTAAACATTATACATCCTGTGTTTACATCGAGTCCACTCTCGCCAGAACCAAACTTGGGTGGCCACAAACCGCATCTGCTGACAACCTCGTCACACGTCACAGACACTTCTCATTCTTACGACATTGCCATAAACGTGAGAGCGAGGAACCTGCAAAATTCCTTTTCGGCGAGCGTTGCCATGTACTGCACGGTTTGTCTTGCGGCCGTAGTCATCAGTAAAATTCTCCACATTTGGTCTGTGCACGCTCCTGTACGTGCAGAGTAACCCAAACTCAGTAGCATATTATGATATCATCATCCAGTCATTGAAGACGCACAAGCTCTGCAGTTTTCTGTTGTTAAACACCCAATTAGTGGCACTATGGAAAGCTCGGTGATGTCTGTGTCCTGATAGCATTCAAATATACGTAGCCAGAACCAAGCGAGTTTAGCATTCTTATAACCACGCAAACGACAAAAATTGCACAGGGAGCTGAACCCAAGACCAACGCTATGTATACATATGTGCTAGAACAGTGGGCCACACTTAAAACCAAAGCATAATCATTATGTGTCTACTCTACTATGTACTACTATGAGAATTATCTTCATCACAATAATATTTTTCAACCAAGAGTATGATAGAAAGATCTATTGTACTGTCTATAGAGTATATACGGTGAGAATGCAGAAGGCAAGAATTATGGTTAGCCCTTTGTAAAGTCTTATGTAGCTATAGTCGATCCTGATTGCATTCAGAGGGAAACCCACCAATATTGCACCTCTGCAGCATGTGAACCGACGGACTGCAATAGTATCTTAGCTACATACGTATGAGGGCATCCCATTTTGGCCTTTCTGGCTCTTTCTAGGTGTGAGATAGAGAGCAGGGAAGCACTCCAAGAGCTTATGTACAGCAATACATACGCCTATATTATGTGCTATGAGTATCTACACATGAGACAGCAATACATAAGCCTATATGTGCTATGAGTATCTACACATGAGAGTGTCAAGTTAAGTGACGCTTGGCTCCAGATGCCACAGTCTATTCATAGAGTGTTCAGAGTACACAGAGCTAGAGCTTCCTGTGGCCACTCTGTTTGCAGGTTCATGACATTTTCCCACTTGGCTTCCGTCCTTTTCCCACCCACCACTCATCAACCAACGTCACATAGCCGCACTTATTTAGACACAAAATTTCGAAGGTGGAGTATTTATATATACATACTCTTGAAAGGGACACACAGAGAGTCATGAAATGTATATACAAAGGGAACATTGGGGTGAGGACGAAGTGTGATTATAAAACGGTAGACATACAAAAGGTATAGCTCTGAAAACATCTATTATTCAGCCTCGTTTGACTTGGCTGACAGCATAAAACAAACAACGAAAACTATCGGGGAAAAACTAAGAGTGAATTTGCTAGCAGAGCAGAGAGGACTAGAGTCAGGAGACTGGCTGCACTGTGGATGCTGCTCGAAAATATGTCTGGGGTGTCTGTTGGATCAGTGAGGAATTGGTTATCTGGGGCTTTGCTTGCAGGAGCTACTGTTGGTGTTTGAGAAGGTCCTTTGTCTGGTGTAACGGTGGGTTTGGGTGGATAGACACAACTTTCCATTTGTGGTTCTGCAATAAAAGAGCAAATACTTCATAGAGGACACTCAGTGTTGGATCTGTCATAAAAAGTTAGTCGGACATATCCTTCTGGTTGTATATTATAAAGGGGACAAGGGACAGTGCTAATCAACAGGCATGCATGTCAAGTGTATCAATTTCCCTTTAGTCTGCATGAGACATAGTGCATAAAAGAATGCGTCTGAAAAAAGCTTTGAACTCTACCCACTGCATTATCCTCTGAGTTTTTATGTAAGTAAACACTGCATTAAAGCATCAGGACGTCGATTCGGTGGTAGGACACAAACCTGCAAAGTCAGTCGCTGTCGGTTGAGGTGCTTCTTCGACCACGGAAACTGTACTGTTGGGGCTGCACATACGGCCTCCGAGGCGAGCACAACAGTACACACGGCTGTTGTGAGCCTCTGCGGTGCCATTGATGTACATTGTCAGAGTCCTACAGAGCTTGCTGCTGTCGGTGTGCGAGCACGGCCCGTCTGTCTGCATGATCCTCGTTACCCAGGTGGGGTGGTCGTACCCCATCATCTTGCAGTCGTTGACGTACATAAAGGTCTGTGGAGGGCTGTCTTGGTAAAACTCCACCACACACTGGACTATGGCCTGGTCTCCTTGATTGATGTGAACCGTGTTTGGAGTGAATACAACTGCAGGTATGAAGAGAGAAAAAGCGGTGTCTAGTAATTCCCAGGACCTGAAATACTAGTCTTACCTCCGTCGTGGCTGAGGTACTCGGGTGCTGGGCACGTGTAGCTCTCGCCTGCTCCGAAGAGCCAGAATATACACATGAGTAAACTGCAGTACTGCATCTCTCCCAATAAACAACGCAAACGACGATTGCTTCGCCGGACCGCCCGGTGAGCGCTTTTATACACGCTTCAAAAAACGGCGCGCATGCGCATAAGCAATGAACGTCACTGATGATCAGAAGTACTCATCAACATTACCACGATCGACAGTCGTCCACTTGTCGCTGTCCCTGGCTGTTCTTGTCATCTCCACAAAGCCGCAATAGTCCACAAAAGCGTTTCTCGATCCTCCACCCTTTACAACAGCCTCCTGGACTCCATATCCGTGTGTGACAACGACCAGGTTTTGTGGCCAGAAAGCATTTGCCAGTCGAGTGTAGGCTGGACTAAACCTACGTGTCGGAAAAATGATTCTTCGTCAAGAGTATAAACAGTTAAAAAAACAGTAAAACACAGGCCCGATAACCTATGAGCATGTAGACACTTCTGTAACTCCATAAATCAGGGGGAAATCCTTCATCAGTCACGTGGGTTATCGTGTTGTTAAATAGAACAGCTCACCTTTTGACACCATCTCTTGTCTTCTCTGGGTATCTGGGTAGTTCTGAGGTGTCCCTACTGGAGATATTGATCCCTAGCTCGGCCACGTTCGAGGCGGGCACCGCAGGTTGCTCGTGGATGCCGCAATGATTGCTGAGAACGTCAACTATACTGTTGCACGTGTGGAGACTCGGCAGGGACAAGACGTCGCTAATCTGCTGTGCCGTCTGAAGACAACGCAGGAATGGGGACGACACAATGCAGTGTATATCCTGTGTGTGTGTGTGCAAACATGTTATGACTACACCTCTTGACCTATTCATCCATTCTTTGTATAAAAATGCATTATGTATAGCTAGTATTAAAAAGGTTTTAATACAGGATCAATTTCAGATGACAAACCTTTCCTAAAAATCGTTTCCCAGCGTCCCTCGCCTGTTGCACCCCTATCTCAGTGAGTGGCGGGTCGTAGGGTCGAGCAGCAGTCCTTGTCCACATGTAGTCGACATTGTCCAGCCGCTCTCCGTGACGAATGACGATTATCCTCTGCAGAGAAGACGATGCTCTGGCTTGCTTTGCCATCTCGAGTATGCACCACGCCCCCATCCGCTTTTTTTAGATCGTAGCGCGCGGTGTGCGCATGCTCGTGGTGGCATGGTATGGCTTCGAAGGAGGCGTGGCGCGGTGCAGACGACGAAGGCACAAATTATACGCGCCAAATGCTTTGCTAGAGAACTGTGCGAACTGCGATGCATTTATCCACACACTACCACAGCAAAGTGTCAGAGAGTGTGGCTGATGGTATGTCCACCACCAGACTAAGCTGGTAGCTCCCAGTACATACCTACCAAACATCCAGCTTTTTGCTTGATAATCAAGCCAAAATACTGGCTATCCCACCAGAAAATCACCAAATCCGTGTTTTTATGCTAACCTGTGATGCACCATGCCCATACATTTTGAATGGACACGCAGCATTTTCAAGCAAAACTACTCCAAATCAAGCAAATTTGACACATATCTCAAGCAAAGGTTTATCTGCAGGTTGGTAGGTATGCCAGTGGCTTTGCCAGACTTGTGGCCACCACCTCATTTCTCTTCATTCTATCAAAATGTGGGTGAGACCTCCTCTACTGTAGAGCATGTTTCTCTTCTGCAGTGTGACAGGTGGTGTAGCTTTTCAGGGTTTCTTGCTGAGATGACAGCTGTCATTGTGGCTGCAGGCTCCTTTGCTATCTACAAGGTCTGGAAAGTTTGTCCATAGAGGTTTAGCAACATGTAAACTCTGATAAAGATAAGGACAAAATAGCGCTCTGCGGATGGATGCGCTTTGAGGTCCAAATTGTTTCTATTACTCTAGCACATTTTTAACCTCCAAAAAGAAAGGACAAAACGCCTGATCCTTTCACCATTGTGTGTATATATATATAGTGTGAATGTTCTCAATTCTTGTTCTCAAAGCAAAGAGATGAGAGCAGAGTACCAACCTCACTCTAAGGAGTTCAAGAGGGCAAGAACTGGTGGCAGTAGACCTCAAGAGAACTATATAATTATATAGTACAAATGTCATAATGATGTCATAAGAGACTCTCTAGGAAAACTCTCAATAACTAGTGTTTTATGCTCATCATCTGATCGTAATGTACTTGATGTAGTATTGTTTCACGCTCTACTAATCCTTCATAGCAGCCCTAGCCTGTTCTTGGCTTGGCATGGCATAAACTGTGGTGGCATTGGGCATCATAGCAATACATATGGCCTAGCTAAGGGGTAAAACACAGGAAACAGCTTGCATCTGAAACATATCTGCTTGTTCAAAATGAACAGACCACACACACATAGGAGAAACTACAGACGCTTCATGGCCCGAAACGAGGCTTGCGCATGCGCACCAACGCTCCCGCAGCGTCGCATATAAAAGCCGCCGTGAAAGAAACTCGGCGAAAAACTGTCCACAATGCGAGGAGCAGGCATTCTTGTGCCCGCTTTCTTGCTTCTAGGAGCCCTGCTGCAGCTTCCGCTCCAGCCAACCAGTGCTTCTCCGACGTCGTGGTTCGCTGACGAGCGAGTCTGGGCTGCACAATCTCCTCTTGCGGCGACCCAACTCATCCAGGATGCGAAGACCTTCGTCCAAGTGAGTTATAGCAACTGTGTAGCGTGCTGATGTGGAAATTCTGCAATATCTTTACTGCTCCAAGCGCAGTAGCTACATACTACCATGTTTGATTTTTCAGAATGGACTGAATTCACTGAGCGGAACGCAAACGGTGTGCCTCCATCTCCGGGCGCTTCTGAGCCAGCTCCAAGTAGCCGGCACCATCACTCTGTCCACGACCGGCCCTCCGTCTCCCGACAACAGTCTTCTGCAGCACCCCGAGTTCTGGGGCAACGTGGTCACGATCCAGCATGCAACAGGTGTGTTATTCCTTGCAGTAGACCCAGGTGATTGTGTTAGGGTACACAGTATTATGCTACTGCTATCTTATTAATTGGTATATCTGATCCAATCTGTCCTGTTGTGGTCTCACTCCAGATCCAAGGAAGATGAGCACCCGGTTTCCGGTTTTCGGACTGAATGGAAGGACGCAATCAGTGCTGACTGAACCCGTTCTTGACACAGGCATCCAGCAAGGATTTGGTACGTGTAGGGAAAGATGCTGTTTTGTATTCAGGTCTTATTCTAGTCAGAACCCGTTTGTGTTGACAAAGATCAACTTCTTTTTTGCTTCTAGTTTCAGATCCGTACTATCCGAGGAAAAGGGCTGTATATTCCCAGCAGATACCAGGTGTTCCCAGTATACCAGGAACAGGAGGTATACGAATGTCGAGTAGTTTACTTTGCCTTTGCCTTGTGTCCTCATTGCTGTTTCACATGCATTTTGTTTTTTTCGACATTGGTCCAGCAAGTAACACTGCTTCATTTTCCCTGCAGATGTACTTTATGCTGCTCCACAAGCTGGGACGTCTGTCAGCCTCACCCAAATCCTTTTTCCTGGCACTACCTCCAACCTTCCGTCACACCAACTTCTCAACCTCACATTCGACTGTGCCAGCAACCAACTAGACATCCATGTTCAAATCGCCAGCACCGTGGACGTTATTCCTAACAACATCCTCAGATTCAACAACGTGGTTCTGTCGCTAAGAGTGGTCCTCACTGCACAGCCCACGTTTGTCGTCGCCATCCTGAGTGCAACCACCCAGTTCTTCACGATGGAGACATTTGCTGCAGCGAGATTCGACTTTGCCACCGGAAAGATTGCGATCAAGGGTGTCCCGTCGACTACTAACCCACCCCTCACCCTGCAGAATGCACTCCAAGCTGTTTCTGGCTCCAGTTTGACGGTGCCAGCGGCCTAGGTCCACTGTCACAGGTCACTATCAATGGATTTGAGGAATCAGGCGTCGTTACCATTGCTGTCAAGGGAACCGTCGGTAACACTGACACAGTGGCCGTTATATTCCAGAGATCGAGTTCCGGGACCAGTGCAGCTATGATAGCAGACATCAGAAACTTCGATCTGGCCCGCCTTGTCCAAACAGCTCTAAGCATTGACATTTCAGCTCTACCAGTGTTTGGACAGCTACAGATCCCCGAAATTGGATTCTCTGTTGCCTCGAGTGACATCACATTTCCAAGTTCCCTGATTACGACTCTCTATCCTCCAGCTTCCCCCCTGGCGAACTTCGGGACCACTCTTCGACAGGGTGTTTCCGCACACTTCACCGCAACACTTGCTGGAGCCAGTGTGTCTGCCACGTTCTCTCTGAACAAACTAACCTTCACTATTCCTCAGGCATCACAGCTCTCGGCGAGGCAAGTCCTGGACCAAATTTCGACCCTGGCAACTACCATCAACAATCTCCCGACTATCGTAACGGATGTTCTCAACACCCAGATCTCTGGTCTGAATTTCGACCCTGTAACCAAACAGCTCGATGTTGCTCTGACTCTACCTGAACTCGTCTTTCTCCCAAGTTTCAAGCTAACGGCGGTTACGTTTACAATGAGTGCCGTGATCGATCCTCCATCCATCCTGACTGCACATTTCTCTGGCACGTGGATGGTCCAAGACCTGTCGCTCACAACAACTCTGGACTACGATGCAGCAAACGCAGTCATGAAGATCACGGCTACTCCACCCGGTGCACAGACTCCGTTGCAGATTGACGCACTGATGAAGAATGTGGTCGGTTTCCAGGGCACTCTCCCTAGCTCCCTGACATCTGTGTCTCTGACTGGTGTAGTGGGAAGCATCTACAACAACGGGAACTACTTCATTGCCATGTCTGGCACCGTTTCGGCAGGAAAGGCCTACCTATTCTTCCACAAGGGATCCGATGGTGTCAAAGTCGCCGCTGCCGCCAGTCTCCAAAGCTTCCTTCTCTCCGACTTGTTCCAGAGTGGCGGAGTTGACATAACTGGTGTGCCCTACTTTGGAAGTCTCACAGTGCCATCAATGGCTCTTGTAGTTGCATCTGGATCTATCACAAACGCTGCATTGCCTCATTTCTTTGGCCCCAGTTCTCCACTGGGCGTTTACGGCAACACGCTACCTGCCGGTTTGTCGTCCCAGTTCAACATTGATATTGGAGCAGCTAAAGGTGCAGTGGCAAGGTTCTCCGGTGGCGTTCTCGCTTTTAAGCTCCCCGCCGATGTCAACCTGGACATCGCAGCCCTTGCCAGCGTCGTACCGGGTATATCTGAACTCATTAACTCTCTTCCTCAACAGTTCAAGGATGTCCTTGGTGGGGCAAGCCTGGACGCTTTCTCGTTCAATGGAACAGACAAGAGTTTGAGTATCACCGCTTCTCTTGCTACCCTACACGTTGTGAGCGGCTTCTTCTCCATTTCTCAAGTGACCGTACACTTTGAAGCCACTTTTGGCCAGACATTCACATTGAGAGTATTGGACTTCATTGGCACGTGGAGCATTGGCAACGACGTTAATGCCGTCAAGATCATGACCAGCGTACTGTACGACGAGCCTACAGGAGAGCTGATGGTGATTGGCCAGTCTACTGGAAGCGATCTGAACATAGGAAACTTGGTCCAGAGTCTGGTCCACACGGCAGTGAAAATCCCAGCAGCCATCTCTTCCTTCGCCATCACTGGACTCGCGGGGAAAACAGCAGCCGGAGAGTTTGTTGTGGTCCTGAATGGGCAGATTGGAGGAACAACTGGAAAGATCAGTGCCGTGTTCTACAAAACGACCTCTGGACAAGCGGGTGCCATTGTGGTCGACATCACCAACTTCATGCTGAGTGAATTCATCAGTTCGGCAGCGGGAGTGGACATATCGACAGTACCATATCTAGGACAGCTGGCGATCCCGGAACTGAAATTCTCAGTGGCAACTGGTGACATGAACACTCCCCTCCTGGCGCAGGTTTCCACTGCTGGATCAGCCCTGGAGTGGTTCAAGACTGGTATTGTCAAGGGAGCCTCCGGGCGTTTCGTTCTCCAGATCGGTCAGAGTACAGTGGCAGCCGAATTTGTTGGGAAAATGCTAGATTTTAAAGTTCCAACTGCTTCGAGTCTCGTACTGAAAGACTTGCTAGCGGCAATGCCACCAATCCAAACCATAATCTCTGCCCTCCCATCCCAATTGGCTGCTGTTCTGGATGCCCAAATATCCGACTTTGCCTTTGACACGTCTACACTCCAGCTCAGATTCAGCGGATCGCTAGCAACACCAATCGACATTGTTCCTGGATTCCTCTCCCTGAGCAACGTGAAACTCTCTCTGACTGCTGACCTTGGTAGACAGCAGATAAACACGGTAGACTTTATGGGAGATTTGAGCCTTGGAGACCTAGCCATTGCTACTGGTGTGATCTACGACAGAGCAACAGACACTTTCTCCATTTCGGGTGAAGTGAACCCTGCAAACAGTGGTGTGACTATCCCCAGCCTCATCACCTCACTTGGAGGACCATCACTACCAGTACCTCAAATCCTGTCTTCAGTTACGCTTTCAAGGATCGCCGGAAACAAAATCGGCGACGTGACTCTAGTATCCCTGACTGGAACAGTTGGGAGTGGCAGTGTGTTCTTTTTCTTCCAGAAGTCTCCTTCGGGATCTGCAGTTGCTCTGCTAGTGGACATACCCAGTTTCAGATTCGCTGACCTAGTCACTAGTGCAACTGGAGTCGACATCTCGGGTGTTCCGTTCTTCTCCAACCTCAACATCCCCCAAATCGGGCTTTCAATTGCATCCGCCCAGCTGCAGAACCAATTGCTGTCGTCCCTCTTCCCTCCAACGTCATTTCTCGCCAACTTTGGCGCACTTATTCCTAAAGGTGTCACGGCATCCTTCTCGATCGATATTGCTACCGTGAAGGGTCTCGTTGCAGACTTTGCCAGTGGGGAATTGAAACTCAAGGTACCAGACGGTATCGACCTGTCACTGGACACTCTTTTGGGACAGATACCCGAACTGAGGACACTGGTAGACTCACTGCCTCAACCGATTCAGCAGATTGGCAGCACCAAACTGAGCAAGTTGATATTTTCGCCTACAACCAGGGAATTCCAGTTGGCAGGGAGCCTCGAATCACTTACAATTGTCCCCAATATTTTCAGCCTAAACAACATTCTGTTTGACCTGTCTGTGGTCCTGGGAAATGGTGCCCAGGTGAAGTTTGCCATTTTCAAAGGGACTTGGGTCTTCCACTCCCTCTCAGTCACAACTGAGGTCTTCTATGATAAGGATATTCTCCTCATCAGTGGTTCTCCTGCACCAGGCAGCTCTCTAAATGTTGGACAATTGATCCAGGGCATTGCAAATGTCGACCTGAACGTACCGCCAGTACTGGATGCTCTGAAGTTTTTGCAGGTCGTTGGAAAGATCCAGAACGGGGTTTTCTCCATTGTCCTCATTGGAGAGGTCACGGGGAAGGCCCAAGTCAGCATCGTCTTTGAAAATTCGCAGGCCGGAAAGATTGTGGCATTTGCAGCAGACATACAGCAGTTCCAACTCTCTGACTTAGTCTTGGCTGGAACAGGAGTAGACATCACTGCCGTTCCCTTTCTTTGGCAGCCTTGTGGTCCCTGCTCTGAGTTTCGTTGTCTCTTCCAAACAGCTGTCCACTTCTAGTCTCCCTGATTTGAGCCATGTCAGTTTCCCCGTGCCCCAGGAGCTGAGTCTACCCACGATCCCAGCTGGAGTCGGCGGGAAATTCCTGGCAGATATCGGCAGTGCCGTCGGGCTAGATGCCAGTTTCGTCGATGGGGTCCTCGCCATAATTGTTCCCCCACAGACGTCTCTCTCCCTCTCAAACCTGCTCACCGTCATACCACAGATCCAACCAACCATCGATTCTCTGCCAGAAACTCTCAGGACATTCTGAATGCAAAGATCACTCATCTGGTGTTCAAAGCCTCAACAAAAGAACTTCTGGTCATGCTGGAGCTGGACACACTATCACTGGTTCCCCAGGTGACCATCACAGGGCTAAAGGTCTCGCTTTACGTCAGCATGGGTACGGGTCAGTTACTTGCAATACAAGGACTGGGCCATCCCTACCGTCAAGACAGGTCTGTGGGTGACACGTGGTTCAATACACCACCTGCTGGGTACGCATTCGGCCAACGGTTTGCAGCTCCCACCGCAGCTACACAGGAACAATACTTTGACAGACAGACAGCAGGAGCCAATACACTGGAAAATTGGCTTGCAGCTCCAAGTGCAGCGAGTTTCGAGAGACCAACAGCAGTGGCTAATGCACTGGAGCAATGGCTTGCAAATCCCACTCAACTCCAGGAATGGACTGAACCTCCTTCGTCTACCATAGTTGCAAGAGACCAAGCCATTTCCATCAACAATCTGGCTATCACGGCAACTTGGGACATTCGTGGAATCTCTATCCAGACCAACATCGTCTACGACAAACAAGCAAAGATGTTGAACATGAATGGAGTTGCCAATGCTGGACAGGGTGTGAGTATTGCCGACATTATCCAAGTCTTCACAACTGCCAAAATCCCGGTACCCAGCGTACTCTCTTCGCTCACAGTCACAAGTGTCGTAGCTGCAATCTCGGATACCGAAACTACAGTCGTTCTCACTGCAACGGCTGCGGGTGCAAATGTAAATGCAAACGTGTATCTTCTCTTCCAGAAGCAGGGAACAACAACAGCCACTGCCATTGCAGCCGAAATCCAGTCGTTCAGCGTTGCCGAACTTGTCAAGACTGCGGCCAGCATTGATCTGACTGGCATTCCGTTCATTGGTTCCTTTGTCGTGACCACCATGGCCATCTCTGCTTCAACCAACCCCATCATCTCCCCTCTCGCTGCCAGCACCTTCACACCTGACGGTCCACTCCAGAAATACGGAGGTGCACTCCCGAAAGGTGTGACTGCTCATTTCGAAGTTCAGATTGGGGGAAAGACTGGAATAGCCGTTTCATACGAGGCGAACAAATTGATGTTTGTACCACCACCAACTACTGGTCTCTCGCTGAGCGACCTGCTGTCAGAAATGCCAGCAGCAATCTCGTCTGTCGTTAACACGCTCCCCTCTCCCCTCAGTGATCTCCGCACTGCAACTATAACGGCAATAGACTTTGATTCCACCACCAAGACCTTGTCAGCTGCAGCTACCGTCGCCAAACTGACCATCATTCCTAACAAGATGGAGGTGACCGACATACAGGCAATGTTTGTTGCTATTCTCAGCTCACAGAACGGTGGCCTACAAAACCTGGATTTCAGTGCCAACTGGGTTATAGGCAGTACATCAATTAGGGTCAAAGTCACCTTCGACAAGGCCACTAAAGTGGTGGTGTTTGCAGCAATACCAGAACAAGGACTTGACATTACACAACTCATCACAACCCTCACTGGAACCTCCTTACCACTACCTTCTGCCATAAACACTGCCAAGCTCATCAAGATAGTTGGGAGAAAAACGGCTACCGAATCCACCCTGATTTTCAGCGGGACTGTAGGCAGCAATGCAGAGGTTCACCTGGTGTTCAAAGTCATGGGACAAACATCGCAAGTAGGAATAGCAGCTGGAGTCTCGTCGTTCACTTTTGCCGACCTGGTCGAGTCTGCTGTGAACCTCGACATAACGAGTATACCGTTCTTTGGCACAGTCAGTGTCCCTTCAATGGCTTTTGCCGTGGCAAAAGAACAGATAACAACAGCTCTCCTCACGGAAGTAGTGGCACAAACGTCACCCCTGGTCATGTATGGTGGAAACATTCCGAAAGGTTTCACTGCAAAGTTTGATGCTCCCCCCATTGGAAGTGTGAACGGTATACTCGGATCGTTTGAGAACAAAGTCCTCTCCTTCACTGTCCCACCAACTGTAGATGCTTCCCTGGGAGCACTCGTATCAATGTTCTCCAATACATTTGATGTGAATGCAATAGGCGTTGGCCCACTCCTTGGCGACCTACTGACCATTCGGCTGCAAAGTTTCACTTTCGACGTCGGTAAAAAAGCGATGACCATGGACCTGTACCTGGCACAGGTAACGTTCTACGAAAACCTTCTCTCCATTAGAGACATTCAGTTGAAGTTGTTTGCGACTTTCTCGCCCGTGAGTCTCTCTGTCGAAGCAAGTGCTACCATTGCGCTGGATGGAACAGACTATGCTGCTGCTGTAGGCAGAGACTTGGCAACAAACAAGTATGCATTGAGTGTATCGACACCCAGTCTCCCTCTGTTTGGGGTAATCACTTCTCTCAGTGCCTCTTTCCTACCAAATGACCTGCAGATTATCCTGAACGGAGTGCTGAAGTTCAACATTCTGGACGCAAAGGTTGTTTTCCCGTTAGCAAGTACACCTCCCCAGATTCAGTTGTCGGGGACTCCTCAGCTGTTTGGACAGTCAACCGCAAGTCTCACAGCTGTGGCGTTCAAGTACAGCGGGAAAATAGTGATGATTCAAAAGTACAACTTTCCTTCATTCAACATTGCCAATCTACTGCAGAATCTTTTGGGAATTGATCTTCGCTCACTGAAATTTCTCGACCAAACTGTGGACTTGAACTTTGTCGTTTCGCCTCTCAATATCAAGGGCGTCACACTTTCGGTCCCAGATTTCTCTGGATTCAATCTTGCTGAAGGAGTCTCTATAAAGGCCCCACTTCCTTGGCCAGCGGGCTGTTCAAGCGATGCCTTCTGCAACGTTGCAAAGAACCTGTTTGGGAAGCTGAATTTGAAACTGGAGGCGACCATCACCAACCTACGAAGCTACTCCCTCACTGCAACAGTCGGCGATCTGGAGTTGGGTGGTGGTGTGGTCCTGCTTCAAGCTGGTCTACAATTTGAAGGTGGAGTCACCCCTTCCGTCGGTGTAGTGGGAAACGTCATTGTCAACAGCCAAATAACCCTACAAGCTGCCATTAGAGCAACACTGGGTGGAGTAAAGTTGGAAGGCTCCATGTCCGGTTGCTGGAGCAATGCATTTGGATGGGATGCTCTAACCATATGCGACGTTCTCCTCAGTATGACCATCATTCCTACTCCCTTGCCACTCTCTGGACTCGAGTTCGGCGGAAGGGTCGAAGTTGGCAAGCCATCGTGCGGTCAGGTGCTGACGGCTCAAGGATACGTCGGCATTAACATCCTCGCTCCGACAGAAAACTACTTCTATGCAGATGTTGGCCCAGTCACGTTCCAAAAGTTCTTTGATGCATTCTGCCTCGATGTGAGCCTCCCTCAACCACTAGCTGACAGTGGGTTCCCAAATGGCTTCAAGACGTCTTTCTCTGTGGGTGGAGTGACTCTCCCCCATGCCAGCATCACCATTCCCTCGGGCTACACGTTCAGAGGAACCTTCAACTTTCTTGGTCTGGTGGCATACATCAACCTGAGACTCCAATTGACTGGTATCATAGCCGATGTCAATTTGCCTCCACTGAAGATAGGTGGGAACATTTTGAGCATGTACCGCTCCAGTGCAGACAAGACGACCGGGCCCTTCCTCCACGTGGAGCTGGTTACCGGCAAGACTCCAATCGTGGAAGCGAGTGGATTTGTGGAAGTGTTGAAGATCTCGCTCGAGACGAAGCTAGTCATTTCAAGCACAAAGTTTGAACTCTACATCACTGGCAAGTTCTTGACGTATTTCGAGGCCCAGCTGCACATCTCGGCACAGTATGCCAAGAGCATCACCAGTGGAACCTTCCTGGTCGAGGGATGGTTCCAGAATGACCTTTTCACAAAGATTGTGAACGAAGTCCAGAAAGGTATGAGCGCAGCTTCAAGTGATGCAGAGAAGAAGATAGGTGCTGAACAGGCCAAAGTCAACGCAGCGAAAGCAAAGTTGGACAACGCAAAGGCTAAGCTTGACAGTGCACAGAAAACGGTAAACGATGCCAAGAAAGAGTTTGACAGGGCGAGTGCTGCGTTGTCCAGTGCAGAGAGAGAAGTGGATAGTGTGTGCAGCTACCAATCATGTGGAAAAGGTACAATTTATAGTACAACATAATTATTATGCATTCGTATGTAATGGCATAATAGTAGCTTAGTTTTTGCTAAAGTACGCATCTGTAATCTTAGTTTTGCTATAATCCTTGCAGTGTCAGTGTGTGGTCCCTGTATCACTGGGACAACCTGTTGTGCCCCTAAAGTGTGGGGTGTATGTCCTTTACCCTGTCCACAATTTGGGATCTGCTGCTCGGACATTGTGGATCCAATCTGTGTGACTGCCAATGGAGCCTGTGACGTACTGAAAGCGACAGCTAAGGAGCTCCTGAAAGGTGCCCAAGGCGTACTTACGGCCAGCCGATCTACACTGGACGGAGCCAACGCCGTATTGGAAGCAGCTAAAGCTCCACTCACGGCAGCTCAGGGTACTTTGGACTTTGCAAACACAGTTCTGGAGGGAGTCAAGATTGCCTACCAAGCCGGAACACAGGCGGCAACCTTCATTGCCAAATTTGCCCTCACAAAGATTCTCAGCATAACGGAGATGTATTTCAAGGTGGAGTTGAGTGTTGCCAACGGAGGAGTGTTCCAGTGCCGAGTGAAGGGAGTACTGGTGGGAAATAGCTTTGACGAGAGCTTCATGTTCGACACGAGCAATATCTTTGGGATTGCCCGGTCTCTAGCTGACAAGGCTGCTAAAGGAATCTCCAAATACATTTGAACTTGTAACCACAATGTGTTAAGATAGGAAATAACTGTGAAATGTGTTGTAGTAGACGTTTTAGAAGCCCCTGTGTGTTGTAGGATTTTGTAACTTCTTAGTTAAAACAGTTTCTGAATCATAACACCTCAATTGAATGGCGGCTGCTCGCCCATCTCGGTAGACTAGTGGATGTGCTACAGTGGAACCTCCGAGAGGGACCCTCCGCGGTAGGGACGACCTCTCTACAAAGGAAACTCGTTTCAACCATATGCTATGAACTATTTTGACCTCCGAGATACAGTAGGAACTCCATCTGGGGACTTACAACCCCGGCACCAGCAGTTGCTAATATGAAAGGAAAGGAGATGCTTGGTTCCTGGTTGACAAGTAGTTAACCATCAAGTCAAAGTTCATGTTTGAATGGCCCGCCCGGGCATGACATGTATACAGACAAGTTAAAAAACATGTAGGAAGCATAACACATGACTGAAGAAGGTGGGGTCCATGGTAGTCAAAGAGTCAAGTAGAGTGCACCAGGAGTTGTCTCTCTAACTCTGATTCGCACACATCCAAATTTATACCATGGTTAGCAAGACGGTTCATGGCGACAATTACGAGAAACAAACCACTAGTGGGAGGGATATAAGGACCCCTTTTGACAGAAGATATGGATCTTCAACCGACTGGCGACTTGTTATCTGGCGAACATCAGCGCCTCCATTAGGACAACGCGCACGCGCAAACCCCAACCCCCGGCACGCCTCCTGCTGCGTCGGCTATGGACGCTATCTTTTTCGAGAGGGTGAGCAGTAGCTACGTTTCCTCATACTTACCTACTCTTGGCTGTGTCTCTCTGTCCAGCAAGAGGGCCAGCTCTGTGCACAGCACTGTCTCAACAACCTTCTGCAAGGTTCGCCAGCGTGACGTGTCGTCGTCTTAGCTACCGTGCTCGAAGCCGTACCCATAATCCAGAGACAATGCACTACACTGCCAGACTACCTAGTAAAGTTCCTCGCAACACCAGGACACTGGTACATTTACCCAGCCCTACATACAGTTTTTCCTAGCTGTGAATCGATCCTTCATGCGGACCGCCACACCAGGACACTGTTACATTTACCCAGCCCTAAATACAGTTCCTTGCTGTGAATCCTGCATGCGCCACGATCCGCAGTGTCAGTTGCCTTTGTTCTGGGGCAGGTCCAATATTCACTGCGGTGGACCTAGCTGGTCATGCTGAGGTGCTAGATGCAGAGGAGAGGGCCACCATGGCGGAGGGAGGAGTCTCGAGTCCTGAATTCCTCAGATTCATGCAGGTGTGGCCACCAATGGCGTGCTCTATAGGTGCAATAATCTTCTCTGCAGCAACCGTCACATAACATGGACGATAGTGGATACTTCTCAGTCCAGGTGTGCATTGAATCACTTTCTATTTCTGTTGTGTTGTATATATATATAGTGGACGTGTATGTAGTCTGTTGTGTGTGTATAGTATGCATGGACAAGAGGCATGGTATTGTAGTGTGACTGCAATGTGCTCTGCAGGTGATAGCAAAGGCACTGTGTGTGTGGAACCTACAACTGGAGTCACTCACTTCTCCCCACATGAAAGCAGCATTGGACAATCCGACGTAAGGACCCTATATGCCCCCTGAATCATGTAGTGGGAAACCTTTAAAAAATCTTACCTCGAACATTTCAAAAAGATTTTCGCCAACCAACTAAAATCAGGAGAGTTTTCCTCTTTGTATATATATACTGTTTTGGGATCCATTGCGCTTCAAATTGTACTGTAAAACTACGTTTTATGTTTAGATCCCAGCAGGCATTCATTTGCAACCACGAGTCTCACTGGCTGACTGTCAGAAGGCTTGGACAGCAGGTAAAATGATATTCATCTGATCCATGGTGTTAGTTTGTTCTTTCTTTATGATCTCCGCTCCTGAAAGTGGTTCAATCTGAACTCTCTACTGAAGGAACCCGAACTGATATCAGATACTTACCTCAGCCTCTTTCTTCACCAACTTCAGATGGAAGGTCAGCACAGCATGCAACACACGCTGTATAAACACATTCTGTCGTACTTTTCAACGGTACAGGGTATTCCATATTCGTGGTGGTGGGAGTGTTGCCTCCGTGTGAGGCTGATCAAGTTCTGTCACTCATACGAGCTGACCCCCCACCTCCTTCTCGTCCCGTCCCCTCCTCCTCCTCCTCCTCCTCTTCTTCTCAGCAGGGAGAGCACCATCAACACACCTCCAGAGGCACGGGAAAACGCCCGGGACCACAGCATTTTCTCAAACAGACCTTTTCCTCTGTACTAAGTGGGAGTGGGCATCCAGCCAAGAGAGGGAGAGGAGAGGACAAGGGGGAGGAGCAGGATTTACAGATGGCCATGGCCCTCTCGGCCTCTTTTGAGCAGGGCCAGGAACAGTTTGAGATCGATCAGCAACTTCAGTTCCAGCGACTGGAGAAGGAGGCCGAGGGTACTCACCCTGCAATTAGGAGCAGAGATGAGGCGGGAGATTACACGGAGGACGAGGAGGAAGAGGCAGCACTTGCTGCTGCCATCTATGCCAGTCTAGGTCAGTGTGTGACCAATTCCATTCTAGTCAGTGTGTGTGTATCCAATCTCACCCCAGCCTGTTTTCAGCACTATTTTAAGGGGCTCATGTTTCTTATAGCTAGTCTGTACTACTTAGAAAAAGTCGGTTGCTTCAGTGAGTCTGTAACGTAGAACTCAGTACTTTGCGAAACAGCCAAAGACTTTGTTTGCTACTGTTGGGAATTACACTGTTGCCCGATGTGGTAAATTCCATGTTCCGTAAAGTGCACGTCAACATGAGCTTGTTCGGACTAGCAGAGCATGCATATTATTATAGACTGGCAGCAGACTGTCTGCCGTAATTTCATCACAGAGAAGTGGTAATCTCGCGTGCACCATTGATGTGGCCACACGTAGAAGGTCACACTTTTACCCAATTCAGTGCTGGAAATGATAGGTACATCCTCACTGTTGACGTTTGATTACACAGTGAAATTCATCCTCTTGTGATACCGAAGCAGTCAAGTATCAGAGATATATAGCTGTAGTGAAATATGGTTTTTGCTGGTGTCAAATGCTTGCTATGTAATTCTGCCAAAAGACCACCACCCTTTTGTCCACCGTATCCAGTTGCGTGTTATACCAACAGCGTTTACTCGATAAGCTTGATCACATGATGACTTTTTGGTATCCATTCCTTACACGCGTTAAGCCCTTTGATGTTTCTAGTGTTTAGCTTGCAAAGTGACCTAACACTTACTCATTTGCATTGTACGTACATACACGAAACAAAAGTGGTATATAGACTGACATGGAAGATGCAATATTTATCACTTTCTTAAAATGTTGTGTGTGTGTGTACATGTGTGGAGTGTTATTAGGAGTGTAGCGGAACATGGAATCAGTGGGTAGGGTGGGGCTGGCAAGTGGGCCAGAACATCGTACCATAATAAACGTTCCTCTGACATTGTCGGCAGTATATACATAGATTTAGTAGACACCTCAGCCACCCTGGTTACCTGACAAAAATCCTATATAATTTTACACAAGCCACTGGGCATCAAAGAGGGAGAGAGAGAGAGAGAGTTCCTGTAGACCAGTCTGCCACCATCCAGTCAGAAATGTCAGGACAGGCTTTGATTTGCAGTGGAGGAGGTTTGTCAAACCCACACACACATCCTGTCCAGTTTCCATGGCTTATAGGGTGCATCTGCAGGAACCTGTTTTGCTTGCTATGCCTGAAGGGAGTCTAGGAATGGGTATAATAGAGGTCTGGAGGTGGTTGGTAGTATATTATACCTGGATCAAAGACTTGTGGCCCGTGTGGAATTCTAATTTCTACTTTTTAGGGAGGCTTGCTGATCCTCGGGCTGAGTACATTCCCCCCTGTTACTCCACTGTGGTTGATCACATTCTTCTCCCTTCACTCTACTCTGTGTATAGTTACTCCATTGAGGGAAACAGTGAACCCTTATTATAGTATATAGTATGTTATGGTACTGCAGGAAGTTTAAGTGGTGACTAGCTACCTTTATGAACCTGTGCAATGCAGGAATTTCCTGAGAGGAGCATCAGGTCATATTATCCTTAGTCTCTGAAGTGGAAATGAGGTGTCCTACTTCCTCAGAAGGATGGGAACACCCCAGTTTCAAAGCCTTCCTGTGCAGAGGTCACTTAGTCATGTAGTGCCTCTTGCCTCTTGATAGGCTTGAAGGCTCTGTTGATTTCACTTACTGTTGTTACTATGGAAGGATATGATATCTCCATAGCTCCACATGCAGTTGTATCTGTATGCTTTGTGACACTGCTCAACAAGGCTTGATGTTAGCTTTAGATGGATAATCACACTGTCATAAATGAGGTCAAGGCAAAGCGCAAAGACCACAACTGCACCAAGAACGATTCTCTTTTTCCAAGGATGTATTATTGTGCAACCATTTGAGACAAAATCTTTCACCGAAATGTGCACGAATGTTGTTGATTTTTCTTGAGTATGGATGGTGTGTCTTGGGAGCTTGAATACAGTGCGTACACAATGTCATGCAGTGTGTGTTTCCAGCGAAGACAAGGCGAGTGTTGTAGGCAGGTGATCCCTTGGTCTTCGGGCCACAGTCTGTGGTCAAAGTATCGGTGACAAATGGCAACATCTGTGAGATGACTCGCCTGGTGAAAACATTGGCAGGATTTATATTCGACCTAAAGTGTCAACAACCCCCTCACCTTCTACTGCTAGCATACTCATCCATATTAATGCACTTCAAAAGTCTTGAAGAGATGGTTTACTCGTAATACTTTGAAAGTCTGGGAGAGATGGTAAAAATGTTCCTTCATAAGGCAGCCCTAATTATTATATACCCCTGTTCTTTGACATGAGATTGATACGTAATTCTTAATATTACCGACTTTGTTTTCACTACATCCCTTACGTGTGACGAGGAAGGTTTCTGAAAATAGTGAAATGAAGTAGTTATTTTTGTGCCTCTTTTTCAGAAGATGACCGCATGAGACAAACTGGCCACTCCACTGCTGCTGCAGCCCACACACAAAAACAAGGACCTTTGCACACTGCTGGGCCTGGAAGTGGACCGGAGAGGGGTTTGGGGACCACGGCAGTGGAGAAGGGAGATGGAGGAGGAAAGGAAGAGGAACCACAAAGTCTGGTTGGGAGAAGAGTGAAGCTAAGGCTGAGCACCCGCATCCTAGCTCACAGGAGGAACTTAGAGAGAGGAGACTCAAATATCTAGGGCAGAAAAAGACTTAGTCTATAATAGTCTCATCAATTTTAAGAATTTTTGACGTTGTCGTTTGTCAGTAACCATGTTGTTCTATTAGCCAATGCAGTCAGTTAGGCTGTTGGCAGCTGGAATTGTGCTCTTTAGTTAAGACTGCATGATTAATCAAGGTCTCTCTATATATGTGCCTTGGTTGCTTAAATAGGCATTGCATCCGGGTTTGAAATCGGACATTTTTGCTTTGAAGCAAAATTTGGATGGTATATATGGTGTGTTCAGTAATAAGGGTTTTCAAGGAACATTACACATTATACATTTGAGTGGTTGAATAAGCTGATTCATGCAACTGAACAGCAAATATATAATTATGGTGTCTTCAGTAATAAGGGTTTTCGAGGAACATTACACATTATACATTTGAGTGGTTGAATAAGCTGATTCATGCAACTGAACAGCAAAAGCTCTCTCCTCAGACTCTTTAGTGGTTCTTCATTTTTTATCTCATTCAGTGGTGGGTATATAATATTAATCTGTTTTTTCAAGCCAATGATTTAATTATTATGGAGATATTCTTACTCATGGAGTTGCAGTTATAATATACAGTGCCATGTAGCATCTCTATTGGTGTGCCAACGTCCACATTATGCAGATGCATGTTGACCAGTTTTGATGAAAGCATTGGTTGTTGGTTTATGGATCACCAAATTGTTAATCCCTGCTGGTATATACAACTCTGTTTGTACAACTTTATACACAGGACCTGGGTGATAACATAACTCTCAGTGATCAAAATAATGCGAACTGATAATGCTTTTGTGGTAAACCAGCGCACGCGTCTATTATGACGCAACTTAACTTGTCAATTAGCGAATTCCTTGCGAGCGAGCGCGCTGCATAAATACACAATGCGTGGCTGTGCACGCCCCATGTGTTGTCCCGCATGCAGTGGTAGAACGGAGTCAGTAGACGGCCATACGTGCCTATTTGTGATCGGTAGCTACTAGACAACTGGCGTGCGGACGTACGTTGCTCGGAGGGACCGTGCAACCGAAAGCTGCCCGTGAATTCTGCAACGAAAGACCAGGTGAGGTGGGCTGGGGGTAGAACACAGCAAAACTATCACACACACAAGCCTCTCGCATAAACGAAGACATTGAGAATAGCAGATGTGATGAGAAATGTACGCTGTAGTAACGTTACACCGCAACGAGACCGTAGCTAATGAGACGGACCGCCTCATCGCAAAATCTCTTTATGCTCGTACGTGCGCGTGTGTGATGACACATGCACTCACTGCAGGATCGCTTGTGTTACAGCCTAGGCGTCTTCACTTCGTCGACAGGCTCGCGCGGAGATGCGGAGCGAAACAGAGCAGCGAGACAGTGCCAGTCCCAGCGTGACGTTGCATTTCTAGCTAAAGCCCAGTGCTTAATAGCTACATTCAAGTCGCAGGAAGGTTCCGACAACGCGCGCGGCATACATTTTGGCTGACTCTGCACGCACTGATATCGGCAGCCGAGCGTTGTGTTTAGCTAGGGTCGGGCGGGGAGTGGGCTGCAGCAGAAGGCGGAAGCATTGCCGGCAGATGCCGCAGCCTGTCGCCTTTATGTGGGACCTAACTTCTTACACAAACGATGCATCGCGACAGCTGAGTTGTGCCTATTGACTATTATGTGACCTGCAATGCCCACACCTTGTAGTGGATGACTAACTCCTGTTAAGGCGCTGCAATTATTGAACATTCCCCTGTGCACGCACTGCCTGTAGTCATCTCAGCCAATAAACCACCAATGCCCCATAAATGACCCCACCTAAAAAAACCCGTGTATGCCCCTTAGGTTTGCCTCAAGAAAGTTTTGCACTAGCAAAGACTGCTGCCTAATAATAAATCACAGCAGTGTTGGTGCCAGTGGGGTTGAGCTAGGAATCTTACCACTCATTAGCTGCCCAGAAACAGGAGACTGTGGCCATGACAGCAGCCTTCCCTTTTAGCCCGTGAACAATCACCAGTTGGGTGCCTGGAGAAATAGTCTTGTGCCCAAATCACTTGGATGCCATCAACACATGCCCACAACCGATCGTTGACTGAGCCCAGCAAGCAATGTCACCAAGGCATTCTCTCCGACCAACTATTCCTGTTCGCAGTGTCTGGCAGTGGTTAGCTGGACAGCTATGTCTGCTTTTTTAGGTAGAGACAGAGGAGAGGTGAAATAGAGGGGTAAGCGAGGTGTGGGGTATTTTGCTTCTGTCTTTACTTTGCTATGTTCTACTGTCTGTGAACATCGCAACACCGTTTAACTCACACTTGCCCCGAAACACACATCTCCTTCTGCTCCAACTTCGTCCGAGAGGGCGGGCGAGGACGCAAACCATCAAAATAGCAAAGACTGCCTACAATTTGTCACTCTCTGTCTGTAGCCTACCTACTGCAATTGAGCTTACTGCAAAACCTCACCCTTTGCCTTGGAACCGACAAATTTGTTTCTAATTGGTGAAGGCTGATATCAATATGTTCGGGCAGTATCTTGACTCGAAAGTGTGTCTGGAACAATTTCACACCTCCACATGAAGGATTTAATAGCAAATTACAGTGTTGACATAATTGCCCAACATTGTCTTTGTGACAAAATAACCGTCGCGCTTGCGTTCAAATTTTATCCTCGGAAGTAAATTCATAAGGGCTGATCGGGATGAGCTAGCTATTAAATTTTCCATCAAAGTGGTAGCCACGTAGATTTTTGGGGGGGGTGCAAATGTGACACTCCTTTACGCCAGAGCATAGATCGGTAATTTTTCTTATCTAACATGGCAATGTACTACGACCAAGAGTAAAATGGATAGCCAGGCAAGGCTTGTCCCGAAATTACTGATGTTCACATACTCTTCTATCCCCTTAAGAATGGGGGGAGGGTCGTTATCGAGAGCCCTGCCAAACTGAGGTGGAAAGGAAGAAAGAGAGAGACACTGTAGAAACAAAGAGGCCACATTTGATTCTACCCACCCTCTTCCCATTGCAATGCTTCACTCTCTCAGCAACAAATAGTCTAATGAGTTTCTTCTATCGTGGAGTGTGGGGTGGGACTGCTATTGCCCTCACTAACTCCTTCTGGCCTTGTATGTAGGCTCTGTCAGTTTTCAAACACACCACCCCCTGTGTGCGCTCTCTGCAGTGCTACTGTCATATTCTGCTCGCTCTACTGTCTGCCGCTGTCTACTGTCTGCTCGTCACTGTCCTGCTCTGTCTACTGTCCTGCTCTGTCTATCTGTCCTGCTCCTGTACTACTGTCAGCACTGACTGTGTTGGCAGTCTCACCCTAATTTTTTGATTCCATCAAACAAATTCTCATCCATTTCGGTGCGAAGCTCCGTGATGCCTCTATAGTGCACAGTACCGATTATCGGGATTTGCACGATTGCACTCTGATGCATTGATTTACATACGGCACGGCTACGCATCAAGTTCGCTCTTGGTAACCACACACACTTATTGGGAGAAATATTTTTGTGGGCTGCTGACCGGTAATACTGTCCGCCAAAAGGTTTGTATTATACATTGACGGTGATGCGAGGGAGATGCAATGTAGGCCCATTCGGCGGCATCGGCCATTCGGATGGGAATGTTGCTCGGTGCACTGATTAGACACCAGTGGCGCTCCATGTGTTGGTGGACTGTTTGTGTGGTTTATGGGATCCATGCACTCCATTTGGCCCTCTGAGAGGCATAATATCGCAGTGATTGCTGGCACTGTTTCTCTAACTCAACGACTACAGAAGAAGCAACGCCCAGAATAGAGTGCGAAACCACACAAGTCAGGCACCCAAAAGGTGTCAGTGAGACTTCTAAAATTCCCCTCGCTGGGATCCAACCCCAGCCCACACTCTGCTTATTCTATTAGGGCCCTTAGGCCTCCAAGTCCATGTTTTGTAGCGACAGTCGTCCTCAATCTCGCAAATCTCAACGCCAAGTAGCGAACCCCCCACACTTTCCTTGGGGGCAAAGTTCATGATGCAACAGTCCACGTATGTCTAATGTATCTGGTACTTTGACCTGGTTCGAGTGCGTGAGGAAATGCTTAGTGTATGAATCAGGACACCCCTCTTGTGTTTTACGTACGGTAGAAGAAATAGAGTAAAACCTCACTTCTTTCCCTCCTCACTCATGCATGGGGTTAGATTTGAAAAAGGGTTCTGCGTTTAGGGACCGGTGTGCAGCTCACGGTGATCGCTGTTTACCACCACCTAGCCTCGGAGCATCTGCCATGGATGGCTACTCTAAATCGAGCTGTGAATGCTGGAGGTGTCCCCTTGCTCGTAATTGGCTAAATATTTACTAATGCTTGTTGATGACTATGAGGGGTTAGCGTTGTACTCTCCTGTATGGCTGTTTTGCGTCTTTCTTTTTAAACCAGCAGTCCGATTGGGTCTAAATAATGACACAGTGAAAAGGCCATGAAATATGTGCAACTTCACAAACTAATTGCTCAAAATTTCTGTCCAAAATAAGTGAGTAATACCAATGTGTTGAGTAAAATTGCTAGCTGTCAAACTTTATACTACAGCAAGACTAATGAAGAAGGCGTAGATCAAAATATGTAAATAACTTTAAAGCTAGCAAGACTTGTATATGACTTGAAGCTGGGTTATTCGATATCATAATATCTTATTCTTGAAATATGGTGAGCTCAAGGCAAAGTGTGGTAGTATTATCTTGATTGCTTTCAATTACCTACATCCTCAATGTGGCCAACAAACATCTTGGCCACACGTCCATAATTAGAATTGGTATGATGCACAGCAACTTTGTATGAAAGTGTGTAGTATCGGAATTTGTGTATGCCAGATGGTGGGTGTTTCACTGCATTTGCAATATGTTGTGCGGGCCTCGGTGTTTCGTGGCCACCGGATTTGTGGTTGCATACTGTCCACACTTGGTGGGGCTCAACGACTAACAGTCTGTGCCAGCTTCCCCGAGCCTTTGTGGGCATCCAAGAGAAATAGTCCCAGCCCTTCTGCTAGGAGAAGAGTAGCGTCTGTGCTCGTCTGGAGAGAACACTCTTGTGGCATGTGGTGTGTGTTTTGTCACGGAATTTGCGCAGTAGCACAAAGATGTCACCTATGTGAACT